CAAACATCAACAGGAAATTTCAGAGACTTATAAAGGCTTTTAAATATGTGATTTCTACTAAGATCTGATTTCACAATTTAAACTCAGTTACAAGGTCAAGTAAAACAAGTTTCACAGACTCACATTTATGTCAGCATTTTCTGCTTATCTCAGAATATTCTCCATCACCAGAGGAAGTTAACCTTTCATGTTTAGATGAATTTGAAAGATAACTAATACATAATTCTTTTTTCCCATTTCCCTTTCACAATTCTTTCTATGAGTTGTTTTCTACCTTTGGGTGAAAGGTCTGTCATCCCATTTGAGCACTTTTACAGATGTGCCACTAAAGAGACAGTGGAATAAAGAAAAATGGGTTTTTCAGGCAAGCCACTGCGTATCCATTGGCCTTACTTAGATGAGCAGTAAGTCTCTTTAAACTCTGAAATGCAGTGACTACAAACATAATAAAATCAATTTTGTACAAAGGATCAAGAGCCACACTTGTATTCAAGAGCAGTCAACTGTGGTCAGTTCTACATGTCCTTCTGTGACATCCCCTGGACCAGTAGGTTAAGTTAAGCTTCTGCAAAGAAAAGCACCTCTTACTAAACCCAGGAGCTGAGGACCTACACCTCCCCCTCCCTCAACCAGATTCAGTAAGTCATGGTTAGTTACCTTTTTACAAGCATTCTGGGTGGTTCTGATATGCATGGTCTCTGCCCCATTCTGAGAAAACTGCCTTAGATCCAATCTGACCATCTGTGTTTTGCTTAAACAGAGAACAGAGCAGCCCTTCATCTGGATGGTCCATCAGGATGGGCTCTGAGTTCCCGGGTGGCTGACTGTGGTCACAGCCCTGTCCCTAGTGACCTGAGAGTCAGAACAGCTCCGTTCGAGCTCAGACAGAAAGAACCCCAAAGAGTGACCACAGTGGGTGAGCGAAGGCCCTGAGAAAGGCAGGCACTCAGAGGGGGACACAAGCATGTGTGGTGTGTGATGTAACCTGCATACACACATGCTCATGGGGATGGGAAGCGTCCTGAAGCTGGGTCTGCTCCAGGTGTGCTGTTTGTTCCTCGCGTGATGGGGGGTCCGGAGTACAGCATGATGCCTGTGCTCCAGAGGGCAACCTCTCATCCAGGACATCAAAGCCCAGGGAACAGCTGAGCAGACAGTGGACCTGGACCCCTCTGTCAGCTATATCTTAAGGCAGAATTATCTGGAAAACAGGCTGGGAAAGGAAGTTGCCCTCCCCTGCCCGCCCGACCATCCATCACAGCCGGAAAGGCAGTCCTGACTCATTACATCCTCCCCAGCTGTCTCTCAGGGAAACTTAGAGTTTCCTCTCCCCTCTACCTTGAAGAAAGAGGAGATGCAAAGGAAAGCAGGAGCATCCAGTGGAAGAGGGAGCACGTGGGTGGACATGGTGTGAACTGGCCATGAATGCAGAGCTTGTAGAAACACTGCCAATTTGCTTCCAGTTTGCAATTAGAGGCGACTGATGATTCTCGATGTTCACCCAGTTTTTAAAGTGACTTGTTAACTTTGTGAGGGTTATTTTAACTAGAGACAATCAGTAGAGACACACAAACCATGTATGAACACGACTGCAGATACGCCAGATGATATACAAACTCTTCAGGGACACTGTAACGAATCTATATACTACCTAGGAAGAAGGTAAATGTCTTTTTCACTCCACACATCTCAAAAGAACATTTTTCCACAAAGGAAGCTGGAACAATTGGATATCCACCTACACAAAGGTGAATTTAAACGCTTACATTTCACCATGTAAAAAAATTAACTCATAATAGATCATAGAGCTGAATATAAAAACTAAAACCATAAAACTTCTAGAAGAAAACAAAGTCTCTGTGACTTTGGATTAAGTGAAGCAGTCTCAGGATACCAAAAACGCAGTCTATAAAGAGGAAAGAGTTTGACTTCCTCAAGATAAAAAATGTTTGCACTTCAAAAAACACCATTATGAAAGGATTTGCAAATCATATATCTGGCAAAGGACTTACACAGAACAGTTCAATAAGACAAATGACCCAAGTTAAAAATACGCAACAGGTTTGAATAGAAGATACACAAAAGCTCAGAATCACATTTTAAATTTCTACACATCGTTAGTCATTAGAGAAATGCAAATTAAAACCCCAATGGCTATAATAAAAAAACAGACAATAACAAGTGTTGGTGAGGATGTGGATAGAAATTAAAATCCTCATATGTTGCTGGTGGGAATGTAAAACAGTACAATAATTTTTGAAAACATTTTAGCAGTTTTTTAAAAAGTTAAACATAAACTTACCATATGACCCAGCAATTTTACTCCTAGGAATCTACCAAGAAAAATGAAAACCTGCAATCACACAAAAACCTGTCCACAGACATTTCCGTTCAGTTCAGTCCCTCAGTAGCGTCCAACTCTCTGTGACCCCATGGACTGCAGCACGCCAGGCCTTATTGTCCATCACCAACTCCTGAAGTTTACTCAAACTCACGTACATTGAGTCGGGGATGCCATCCAACCATCTCATCCTCTGTCGTCCCCTTCTCCTCCCACCTTCAATCTTTCCCGGCATCAGGGTCTTTTCCAATGAGTCAGTTCTTTGCATCAGGTGGCCAAAATATTGGAGCTTCAGCTTCAGCATCAGTCCTTCCAATGAATATTCAGGGCTGATCTCCTTTAGGATGGACTGGCTGGATCTCCTCAGTTGGCTCTCAGTTGGCTCTCCCTTAAGAGTCTTAAGAGACTCTTAAGAGTCTTCTCCAACACCATAGTTCAAAAGCATCAATTCTTCGGTGCTCAGCTTTCCTTGTAGTACAACTCTCACATCCATACATGACTACTGGAAAAACCATAGCTTTGAGACATGATGAATGGTGGAATAGGACGTGCACTCATCTTTTTGTCTCAAGCTTATACTTTTTCCCAAATGACTTGTTTTGGGCAGAGCTGACAGATGCTCCAGCTGAATCCATGTGCCCCTCTCTCTCCACTTTCATTTGTGGTTGATCATTTTTCTTCACATTTGTGGAAGCACCCTCTCTGCTAGAATGCTTAAATAATTGTGTTCAAAGCACACATTCATTCTCTTGGTAAATATCATCTTTGATCCAACAGTTTCAGAAGCCTGGTGCTTGAGGTCCTAGAGTCTTCTCAGCTTTGCCATGATAACATTTGTGAGGCTATGTTCCCTGGTCCACAATATGGCTTATCTGAGGATTCTCCTATGTTCAACCAGGCCCCTCCTCTCTACACTGTCTGTTCTTCATTCTGGGGCTTACTGAAACATGTCAGGTCTGGTTGAAATCTACAGATTCTGGTGGCATTCTGTTAATTTGTTTTCATGGCTTACTAATTGTGAGCCACGGTCACAATCAGTTAGTAGGTCATTGCCTCGGAGACCCTCTTACATGGTGTATCAGGGAACACACTTGGTAATGTTCATGGGTTCATCATAGAAAACAGTGTAGGAATGACAAAGCTCCACCCTCAGGAGATAGAAACAGTGAGCTTTACACAATGTATGTTATACCATTGTGAAAATTCACGAACCTAGATATACCTACATATAAAATGGGTAAACCTCAAAATATAATGTTGAGAGAAAATAAACAATTTGCAGGCTTCATACAAGGTAGCATTTTTATAACACTCAAAAACAAGCTAAATGAAATGTTTAGGGAAGTATGTGCTCAGTCATGTCCAACTCGGTGCGACCCCATGGCCTGTAGCCCCCCAGGCTCCTCTGTCCATGGGATTCCCCAGCAAGAATACTGGAGTGGGTTGCCGTGCCCTCCTCCAGGGGATCTTCCTGACCCAGGGATCAAACCCACGTCTCTGGCATCTCCTGCACTGGCAGGCAGATTCTTTACCACTAGTGCCACCTGGGAAGCATGCATGTGTGTTTGAAAATAAGCGGAGTAAGTACACCATGCGAAATGCCAGGCTGGATGAATCACAAGCTGGAATCAAAAGATTGCCGGGAGAAATATCAATAAACCTTAGATATGCAGATGATACCACCTTAATGGCAAAAAGGGAATAGAAACTAGAGAGACTGTTAATGAAGGTCAAAGAGAGTGAAAAGGCTGGCTTACAACTCAACATTCAAAAAACTAAGAACATGGCTTTCAGTCCCACCACTTCATGGCCAATAGATGGGGAAAAAATGGTAACGGTGAAACTCTTTATTTTCTTGGGCTTCAAAATCACTGCAAATGGTGACTGCAGCCATGAAATTAAAAGATGCTTGATCCAGAAAAGCTATGACAAACCTAGATAGTATATTAAAATCAGAGACATCACTTTGCTGACAAAGATCCATATAGTCAAAACTGTGGTTTTTCCAGTAATCATGTATGGATGAGAGAGCTGGACCATAAAGAAGGCTGAGAACTGAAGAATTGATGCCTTCGAGTTGTGGTGCTAGAGAAGACTCTTGAGAGTCCTTTGGACAGCAAGGGGATCAAACCAGTCAATGCTAAAGGAAACCAACCCTGAATATACATTGAAAGGACTGCTGCTGAAGCTGAAGCTCCTATACTTTGGCTACCCTCCTATACTTTGGCTACCTGAAGTGAAGAGCCAACTCACTAGAAAAGACCCTGATGCTGAGAAAGACTGACAAAAATGGGGATGACAGAGGATGAGATGGTTGGATGGCATCACTGACTCAATAGACATGAATTTGAGCAAACTCTGGGAGATAGTGAAGGACAGGGAAGCCTGACGTGCATGCAGTCCATAGAGTCGCAGAGTTCATGCTGCAGTCTGTAGGGTCACAAAGACGGACACGACTGAGCAACTGAACAATGTGCTACCCCAGCACTCCCCACCCACCCCTCAAGCCTGACACTTAAACATGTTACACCCTTGGACATTGACCCCTAATCTTATCACCCACCCTTCCCCAGTTCTTGAATTCTGTGTCTGCAGTGGAGGTCAGTTCTCAGCAAAGTCCCTTACAGCCTCGGAACTGGATTCTCATCTTCTCGCTTTGATGGAAACCCACCTCTCCCCCAGGGTGCTGCTTCCCTGGCAGCCTGCTCTCATATCCCCTACACCTGGCCAGGAGACAGGTATCTGCCAGAGGCTGCTTCTGAGCCAACCTTCCTCGTGCTTTCAAAAAATCCCTGGGCTCCAAAGTTCAGGCCATCAGGCTGCACCACTGGCTACTCTGGGTCATTCCTCCTCTCTCCTTCCTGGAAGACTTAAGCTTCTTAATCCCACTCCTTCCAATACTACTCCTGGGAGATTCTGGGTGACTCCAGTATCCGTGTACATAGTCCTCACAGCACCTTGGCCTCAGGGTCCCTTAACTTCCCTTCCTTCACAGAGTCTCTGTCAGTACCCACTCCCGTGGGCACGCGCCCAGCACTGTCCAGTAGGACTGTGATGATGGAAACATCCTGGATCTATGCAGTGCAGTATGGTGGTCATTTGTCACATGCGGCTTTCAAATGTGGCTAGCCTGGCTCAAGAACCACATCTTCAGTTTGACTTTCAGTTAATTTGCATTTACATAGACACCCAAGGCTAGAGGCTAGTGTGTTGGAAAGCACAGCTATAAACTTGGCCATGATCAAGTAACTGGAAACCTTCCCTAGTCTCCCCCAACACCCTTGGCCTCTGAGTCATCGTAAGCATACATCTGCATGCATTTCCCTTCACTGCTCTACAGACATGGTTTCTCAGGAGAAATTCATCAGTATTCTAATTATTATTTTCTTATACTAACTTTAACTGTTTCTTTTTTTGCCATGCATGATGTGGTATCTTAGTCCCCCGACCAGGGATTGAATCCTGCAGTGGAAGCTTAAGAGTCCTAACCACTGGACCACCAGCAAAGTCCCCTTTTTTCTCTATCTTGGGTCTCATGGAGTTTGACTATATCTGGCAGAGTGTCTTTGAATTTGTTTTGCTCGGAGTTCGGTGAGCCTTTTGAGTCTGTAAAGGCATGTGTTTCATCCATTTTAGAAAGTGTCTGGCTGTTATTTATTTCCGTGTAGTCTCTGCTCCCGGAGAAGGCAATGGAACCCCACTCCAGTACTCTTACCTGGAAACTCCCATGGACGGAGGAGCCTGGTAGGCTGCAGTCCATGGGGTTGCGAAGAGTCAGACACGACTGAGCGACTTCCCTTTCACTTTTCACTTTCATTCATTGGAGAAGGAAATGGCAACCCACTCCAGTGTTCTTGCCTGGAGAATCCCAGGGATGGAGGAACCTGGTGGGCTTCTGTCTATAGGGTCGCACAGAGTTGGACACGACTGAAGCGACTTAGCAGCAGCAGCAGCTGTCTCTGCTCCATCATTTATCTCTTCCCCTTCTTCGAGTCTTTTCACACGGACGTTGGATTTTTAAACATTATACCACAGGTTCCTAAAACTCTATTCATATTTTTCCAGTTTTTTTTCTGTCCTTCAGATTTAATCACGTTTGATTAAAAAAAATTATACATTTGATTATAGATTATATCCACACAACGGAATATTATTCAGCAACGAAAAGGAATAAAGTAGTGTCTCCTCCAGCATGGATGGCCCTAGGGAACACTGTGCTAAGTGAAAGAAGCTAGTCATGTTTATATGAAATGGCCAGAATAGGCAAATTATGTAGAAACAGACAGTAGATGGACGGTCCCAAGTACTTGGGGTAGTGGTGACGGTAAGTGACTGCTAATGTATATGGGGTTTCTCTTTGGGGTGGCAAAAATGTTCAGGTACAGTAAAGACCCCAGGACTTCCCTGGATCAGAAAGACACCCTGGAGAAGGAAATGGCAACAACCCACTCCAGGATTCTTGCCTGGGAAATCCTATGGACAGAGCAGCCTGGTGGGCTATAGTCCACGGGGTCGCTGAGAGTCTGACATGACTGGGCGACTGAGCACACACACCCATGTGTTCTGACATTAGACTGTGATGTTGCCCAACTTTGTCCATACACTAAAAACCACTGAAATGCACCCTTCATTCACTTTATGGTATGTAAATTATACCTCAATAAAGCTCTTTTTAAAAAAATAGTATGAATTGCATAATTAAAGTTAAAAACATTTAATTCACTCTACTTGGCCACTTGCATTTTGGATCAGCTTTCCCTGTTCCATCTGTGAATTTTCCTCTACTCCTTGCATTCACTGGATTAGCAGGCTGCTTGCAATTGCTTTAAACACTCCTAGGATCTGGTATATAATCCATTAGGTTGTCCTTAAACAACAGGGGCGAGCTTTCTTTCCTGAGTTCTAAAAATCTTGATCAAACTCACTCTACGACAAATGAGATTCCCAAGATGACAATCGGAAGTTTCTTGCAAAGCAGACATTTGCTGACTCAGTGCCTGCTCAGAACTGGATTTTTCTTCCTAGCTCATTGACTTCTGTCATACTGGCTTTTCGAAATCCAGTTAAAACCTGTGATTTGTTGCCTGAGAGAAAAAGAAAAAAATAGTTTAGACTGTACTAGGACACACGTAGATACTACTTATTACATGCTTAGCTTTCATCTTACCTAACTTAACTCATTTTAGTCTGCATAGTCAACCTGGAACATCAGTAGTGCTGTTTTACTAAAGAGATACAAAGATGTTAAACCTTACCAAGGTCACACACCTAGTAAGTGGTGGAATAAAATTCTACACCAGCAGCGTGGTTCCAAAGTCCACAGAAAGGTTGGCAGTGAGTCACCAAATTAACTAACCTTTTCCCACTATACTAATTACTTAATTCAGAGGTATTTATGAAATTCAATGAGATGGTAAGTATTGATACAACACCAAACCAAAACAACAGAGGACAGGGTTCCTGTTCTGGGACTACTCAATCTAAAGTGGGAGACAGAAAGACCCATCAAGGAAACCACGTAAGGAAGCCTGCACCCTGAGACCCAAAGTCTACGCGGACTGGAGGTGTGTGTTCAGGGTGAGAAAAGATGGCACTGAAAGGCCAACATTTACTCCAGACTACATGGGAGACCTGGGTTCGATCCCTGGGTTGGGAAGATCCCCTGGAGAAGGGAAAGGCTACCCACTCCAGTATTCTGGCCTGGAGGATTCCATGAACTGTATAGTCCATAGGGTTGCAAAGTTGAACTTTCACTTTCACAGAAATGGCTGGTGCACAAGCAGAGTGGTGGAAGGGACATGATGTCCTAGAAGGGCTGTGGTGTGCAAGGGTGTCCAAAGGGGTGGGTGGGAGTAGAGGTCAGGCTGTGAAGCACTCCCATATCTTCAGAACACTCCTTAGACCCCACATATGATTACGCTCCCTCGAGCCCAGAGACCTCTGTACTCACCTCACCTGCCATGATCTAGTCTATTGCAGGTGTGTAACCCCACTGTAAAAATCATCACATGACCTTTAGTGTTATGGAGAGCATGGACATGAAAATCCTGTATAACAGAAAATCCCCAGCTCCAGGACTTAACAGCTATTCGACCTCATGGAAGCTGCTTAATTTAACCCTGTTCCTTCATCTAGACACGAAAGATTTCTGCTTTTGAGAGAAATAATGAGGCTAAACAAGGTCAAGTATATAAAGTTCTGAGTGCGCTGTCCATAACAGACTACATACAAGCAAGACACGACTGTGAGTGAGATTCAGATTTGCACTCCCTGGTGCTTCCAGAACACTGGCCCACATTATGGAGTAATGTTACCCGAGTAACACCTTGTGGTGTGTGCTCCAGAAGGCACACTGCAGCCAGGCTCATCCACAGTGAGAGGCTGCAGCAAGGCTCATAGAAGGTGATGCTGCCTATCTTCTGATAAACCATTCCAACTCAAATTATGTCCCACACAGAAATATCCCCACTGCAAAATTTCTGGAGGCACCATTCAGATTCTCTTGCTGCAAAGACACTATTTGAGATTGTTGTTTAGTTGCTAAGTTCTATCTGACTCTTGCGACCCCCTGGACTGTAGCTCACCAGGCTCCTCTGTTTATGGTGATTCCCAGGCAATACTGGAGTGGGTTGCCATTTTCTTCTCCAGCGGATCTTCTCGACCCCAGAGATCGGACCCACATCTCCTGCACTGGCAGGCAGATTCTCTACCACTGAGCCACCTGGGAAGCCCCTATTTGAGATTAGTAGTACATTAACTTGGGCATACTATATTATTACAAAAGAACAGTTAATCTGCATCTGTAATAATGTGAATGACCTTGTACTGACTGTAGGATGAAGACCCTCAGTGAGAAACAGAATTAAGAAGCTGTTAGGGGAAACCATCAGGGAGCTAACACACACTGTAAAACCTTGCTGAAAGAAAAGACCTAAAAAATGCACATACCAGGTGGTACATAGGAAGACATTGATTCTCCCCAGGTACAGACTTTATTTGTATAAAACTAATAAAAAAATCCCAGAAGTATTTTTCCTAAGAAAAAATTGAACTTGACAAAATAAGATACATCCTAAAGGTCCTAGAGCAGTCACCCAACACAAGGTTCTACAGGGTGAGGGATCACACCCAAGTGCCTCATGTAGACACAACCCTCATACGACCACATGTCTTTATTGTCCTCACTTTGCAGGTGCCGAAGCTTAGGTCTAAAAAAGAAACTTGCCAGGGACCACACAGGTTCCAGGCAGGGATCTGAAGCCGAGCTCACTCCCAGAAAGTCAGCTAGGAGTTGTCTGTCTCCTAAGAAAAATGTTAGATTATGTTACCTACAGACATCATTAAGAAAAAAAACTCCCAAGTCATCTGGTATAAAATGGACACAGGATATTAATATGCAACTACATTAATATGCAAATGACTAACATTTATGCTAAAAAGCTCCAGCTCACATGGACTTAAAAGACTGATGGTTATCTAGGGCTGCAGACAGGAAGCGGGTACTCACAGAGCAGGAGCATGTTTATACAGCATTTATGGAAGGCAGTCTGACATTAAAACATACATTCTGTATGCTTCCTTCAGCAATTCCTCTTCTACAATTGATCCCAAAGAAGCATTAAACATGAGCACCAACTGTCATGTTTAAGGATATTCACTGCAGCTCTTTCTGTAAAAGTGAAATACTGGGAAGAACAGGGAGCGGCTAGAGCGGATGACCTGGCGTCCATGCCATGGTCAGTCAGCAAAGAGTCAGTCTCCACAGGCTGACGTGCAGAGATGCCCTGATGCGCCACTCAAGGAGAGACAGGCAAGTCGCATAATACACAGACCTTTAAGCCACTTGTTAGAAAAAAGGAAAAGGATAAAATGCGAGAAGATGAGAGAAGAAGAATGAACATCTGTACACAAGTTGAAAGGCATTTTTTAAAGGGTCTGAAAGGGTACACACCAAACTACGAAGAGTGGACACTGTACAGAAGAGAGTCAGACTGGGGCCCAGGATTTGAAGGCAACTTTCACTTTTCACTCAGTATTTTTGTTTGTAATTTAAAATGTTTTTATAATTTTGCAAAGACAAAAGTGAGTGATGAAATACTTGCTATCTTGTGCTCAGCCTTTTGTTTTTGTTTTCTTAAAAAAGCAAGATGTATAAACCAGTGAAAACAAAACACTAAAAACCAACCAGAGAATGAAAGAGGAAATAATAAGGAATAATAAGGAAATTATGTATTAAGAACGACTAATGACGCCTATAAAGATTCAAAGCAGCTGACACAGTAAATTTTATTGTTTACATCATGACAGGCTCTGGACAGAGTGGGGACACAGTGAACACGGGGACGACACATTTAAACTCCTGTCACAAACAGATTCATTACAAAGTCCCAATGGTCAACATATTAAAATGTAAAATACAAAGAAAAAACCCAAGAAATATAAATATCCAGATTTTTTGCAGCACAATGCAATGTCCTTTTTTTAAAAAAAGTTTGCTATAATTGTGTATTTAATTAAACACATGTTTTCCTACCCTTCCCCAAAACCTGGATCTGGGGACTGCAGTATTAGAGAAGTATGCAAAAAATAAAAACTTCAGCGCTCAGAAACAAAGCATTTTCCTTATTTTAATGCATCAAGGTGCAAAAACTTCAATTCCAAAAGCCAATCATCGATATATGCAGATAAATAAAACAGACTTGACAACACTTTTGTCAAACCCAACTAACATTATACTAAAATATATATATATGTATATATATTGTATGTAATACCTATTTTAGAAAAAAAGGTGCCTTGGTGAAAATGATTCTGAAAATATTCACTTGATGCACATTATGTACAAAACCTTCTATATAAAAAATTAAACTATTTTCAATGAAATTCCATGTTCAGCATCTCACCTGAAAACTGTACTTGAAAGATAAATAGGTCTACATAACGGTTTCTGTCTGAAATCATGGCTAAGGCAGTTCCCTTTCCAAGGGCTCTCTTTTTCACCTACTCTCTATCACTAATACTAATACACAGATGGAAGCTGACATGTCTCTGTGTTATTACCTGGAGCTTTCTGTTCACTGTTAAAACAGGGGATAGTTCACTGTCGCTACAGAGAGTACTTTTTTCCTTAAAATATACCATTTCTCTATTTCAAATTATGCACTTACTTAAGACATAAAAGAGGCTGATAAGCCACTCCATTTGGTGTCAATATCAATAGCCCTGTAAGAAAGAACTCTGTATTGGAATAGCTAGAGAAGCTTCCACTAAAGTAGTAGTGCATCCTACACCTGCATAGAATCGATTTGGCTCCAAAGCTCTCTGCCCCCAGACACCAGTCTGGAGTTCAAACGAGCTCCTGAAGGCTCATCTTGGATCTAAGAATACCTAGGGGAGTTAAGTTGTTGACAGATACGTCTGCTCAGTCTCACAGCAGCCTTTGACAGGAGGAGCTGCTGAGATTAAGGTGGAAACGAAAATAGGGAAGACTGGGGGCAATGTTGTTGAGTTGGCCAATATTTACACCAGTAACCATTTCACTAAGTCTTTAAGCAAGTAACTATAATGACCTGGTACCTTTAGCTCCTCATTCTACAAGCACTGAGGATTTGAAGCATAAAAGGTGAAAAATGGAACACCCTTAGAAAAGGGGAACAGTCTGAGGCAAAAGTTGTAGGTCTGTAAATATATATTTTATATGCACACACGGTTGTGTGTATTATCCTGTATATATTTTACATACATATTCACAAGATGCCCTGCAGTGTAGTTCAAAAGGCCTTTTGTCAAGGAACACACAGATTCTAGTATAGGTCCTAGAGTTCATAACATCCATATAAGAAACAAATGTGCATATATTCACATAATGTAAACCTTGTCAACAAAAACATTGCTAAAACACTAGGTTTAGTAGTAGGTTTTACCAATCAGCGATGTAATAAGAATATTTCTTACACTGAGAATCAAAATAACGAAAGATATACAACTGGGTTTCAAATTCACAAGAGAAAAGTTGTTTAGCATGGCAAACAAGAACAGAGTTCAAATTCCAGAAGTAAGGAAAAATATCAAAACTTTATAAATCTCCTGGGATGCAATTTATTTACTGCATCAACTTTAGAAAAATAGACTCAGAGAATGAATGATGCTGCTATGGGTTCTCTCAGCACATCAACCCATAGGTTTATCTTTTTCCTCTTTTGTTTCCAGCTGGAGGTTTCTTCAACTGAAGGAGTTGTCCTCCTGTCCCAAAGCCTGCAGAGGCAGGATTGGACACCCCAAATGTCAAACCCGCTGATGCCGTGATGCCAGGATTGCTGAAGTTAAACCCAGATGTACTTGAGCTGCCAAAGCCTTATGTTTAGGGAAGAAAATATTCATATCAGAAGTTAAGTCACAAAAACAAATGTAAAAAATGGGGATAATTCTCTAGCTGAAAGAATATATAGCCCATGAAAACAGCGAATGTCTTAGGGCCCTAAATTTCTAACATGGAATTTTACAGAAAAATAATTTAGCTGACAACTAAGTGGCCCTATTATAGATACAAGTTGAGTGATCCAAGCCAAGAGAGAAACCTTACACAAGTAACTGAAATCAACAGAAAACTTCAAGTTGGCAGTCACTTTTGTGTTAATTAAATATGCCAAGGTGCCTTCCTCCTTAGCCATCCATATACACTTTATCAAAATGTAGAGGAGAGACTTTCCCGGCCTTTGGACCCACCCTTGCAACTCTAAGTCCTCTAAGAAAGCCTCAAACCACAACTTTCAGGACAAAGAACACAGAGAAGAGCAGTACCAATTGTTACTATTTTATAAGAGCCTTCACATAGTTAAGATCAAATACTGCCTAGTTAATTAATGTTAGCATATCATATTTAAATTATAATCCTGATATCACTGAATTCTATTATCTTACTTCCTAGGAACTACTGATTTTAAACACTACTTAAATGGAATTTCCTTAAAATTTCCTCAATTAAAAAGCTAATCCACATTAAATTGTTGTTATTTTAGGCATGCTATTAATCCCTAAGCATTGTACAATAAAATATGTCATTATTGGTAATTCCCTGGTGGTTCAGTGCTTGGGAATCTACCACACTTTCGCTACCAAGGGCCTGGGCTCAGCCCTGGTTGGGGAACTAAGATCCCATAAGCTGTGCTGCGAGACCACAAAAAGTAAATAAATTAAAAAAAGAAATAAAATATAACAAGTCATTATTTATAAATATAGAAAAAAACGCAAAAGCAGATGGAATCCTCTACTAGAAGTGTCAAAAGATTATACCTATTTCAAAAGCAAAGCATCGAATTAATCGTCATTTGTAGGACTGGTATTCTTAAAATCAGAGGGACTTGCAACTAAAGAATTTATAACTTATGTAACTGTATCTCTTCAGGAGAAAAATTATTCTCCTGAATGAATAATGATAAAAACTGGATTAAAACTCACAATGGGTTTATTTTTGTAATAATGAAGAAAAACCGTTCAAGCATAAAACTAGTCTTAGGGTTCAAAATAATCTCTACATAGTTAACAGCATTTGTAATTATTTATTATATCAACCTTAAGTTGTTAGAAAGGTTCTACTAAGCAGACCTTCAGCGTATGAGAGAGAAAGCTATATGAATATTAGGATTGTAGGCTTCATCCAGGGGTAGAAACTGAATCAGGGATCTTTTTTGATATTGGAAGTAACAACACTTACACTTTTAAAATAATGCACCTAATGGCCTGAAATTCAGGCTAAAACGCACAAACCTGCACTAAGACTTCCTGAGGGTTTATTTGTTGTTCCAAATCCAAATGTGGAGGCCCCTGTGGTGCTGCATCCAAAACCAGAGCTAGTTCCAAAGCCTAGTGGGGGCGATAGAGAGACACACGGAGGTAAAACACAGGTGAAAGGATACCGACAAGCCACACCCAACAATAAACAGTGTTGAAAACCACGGCCCTACTGAGATCTGCTATTTGCCCCTTTGTCTAAGACTTCTGGAAGAACTAGATCAATTCTCAAATAAAACATTTAGATCTATTTAGACTAAGCTTACAACCCCTCAGTAATTTTTAAAGAACAAAGCCATAAAAAATAAGAATAGTACTTTCTCTCCCAAACAGACTAGAAATTTCAGTGACCATTTAAGTATGACTTTCCTCAAACACATATACTTGTATCTATAGGGGTTATTTCATTTTGAAAAGAAAAAAGACTAAATTCATAAATAAGCACATGCACAACAATTTAAACACAATGTACCGCATAGTAATTTTATTCTCCTTTTTACAAAAACACTTTCACTTAAGTTTACCACTGGAAAAGTGCATGACCACACGAGAGTCAAGTCACTAATTCTACGCAGGAAGAGCAGGCTCTTGCAACAGTACCAGCAATGCAACACTGAGAAACTGCGAGTAGGGGCAGCATGGTTTCTCTCTTAACAACACTAGTCACAATTTAAATAAAGAACATGTGCTCATCATACAGAGTTCTAGAGCACAGTCTGCTAAGTACTTGAAGACTTGTTTCAAGTGCTCAAAAAATGAAATTCAAAATCATCTTTGGCTACTTTGCAATAGTTTATCTAAATTATTGAGTTTGATAGTATTATTGCCTGTAACTCTATGAAATATGGTGACAAACTGGAATATAGACCACAGGAATTATGCTGTCTGCCATTAATTCTAATAATTCCTAACACAGTCTAATATATTACATAACCATATAGCTTATAGGCTTCACCTCTGATGATGATATATTCTAATGGCAATAAGAGACTCTTACTCATTACATGACAATGCACCTGTCAAAATACAATCAACCTACAATTACCCACACCAGAGAATTGGGAATGCACTTGTACTTCAGCATATTTTGCAGAAGGCTTACCTTACTAATTAGTTACGTTATAAAACTATTGAAATCAACTTAATTGCTTATGTATAGAAGTATACATAAAGGCAAATAGGCCAAAAGTGCTTAAAAATGGACAGAAGTTCGGCTGTTCAATTTATGATACAATTATTTCCCCATTTAAAGCACTGCATTTTCAGAAAAGAAAGATGACTAGGAGAATGTCTGTCCAGAAGTAGCTTGAACTCCAACTAACTTTTTAAAGTTAATTTAATAAAAAAAAGCAATTTCCAAATTCATATTTTAGCATATTGCTTTGAAAATACGAACACCCTTACCATTTGATTTTAATACATTTTTATATTTACTGTTCAGAGATGAAATGATTTTTAAAATTCTAGATCTAATAATTTTAAAAAGCACTGATATGTTTAGAGAATCCTCTTTTTTTTTTGGCCAGATAGAACCTTAACTTCCCAAAGAGCAGATCCTCTTAGAGGTTTTACAGGCTAATAGCAATTCTAATGTATCACAGTGCAATGCAATACGAGAAAAGTTAAAGTGTACCTCCAAGGTTTGAAGAACCTAGGCCACTTGACTGCAAGCCAGTGCCAATACCTGAGCCGAATGGCGCTCCAAAACTAACTCCCAGAGATGGCTGTGGCCCTGGTATAAAAAAAAAAAAAAAAAAATGGGGGGGAAAAAAAACAAATTTGCCTTACTCTTTCAAGATTAAAGTTTCTTTATGAAATTAATTTTAAAATGAACAGTCATTATTTTTAACAAATTCTATTTGCTAAAACTTAGTTTTCAGGATGTCTCCCCAGCCTAACTTATCTGTCCCAGCGGATTTACCTATTCAAAAATAAATTTAAAAAAAAATTAACTTGTTCACACTTAAGACAAAAGAGGCTTACCATACGAAAAGAGTGTTAGTTTAACCTACTAAATAATTTGAAATCTTTAATGTATTGTAAATTATAGTTCTTTTAGTTTCGCTTCTAGAATGATTTTAGATCTCCCCACTTGCTTTCTGCTAAAATTAGTTGCCATAATCAGTAAAGGTTTTTACTTTTTTTCTTTTTAAAATAAGCTCCTTACTGTTAGAGTCAAGTCCCAATTGATCAAAAGAGACTGACACTAACATGCAAAACCATCATGTTACTTCATAAGTGTAAGTACCAAAAACTAGGCATGATTTCTTACAGAAAATATAAATGATATAAATAAATAGATAAAAAAACAAGACAATGTTTTATTTTATTAAATTTATTGTTCATTTTAAAGCAAATCAATTACACAGTAACATGACAATTCCAACTTGTTCACAAAAAGTGATAATTGAGTTCTACTGTTAGGCTCTGCTACATCACACCACTTATCACCTGATTAAATAAGATAGAGAATGAACATTTACAAAGGCACTGCTGTGTACCTTGACAGATTCAATACATTCAAGATTTCAATTCAGAAGTTTCTTCTCAACATTTTGGAAAACGTACTCAGATGCAAAACAATTAAGTCATCCTTTTCCCATTTGTTAAAGATTTTGGCTGAGTTTGTTTGGCAAGAATAGCATCAAACTTACTAGCCTCTCTTTTTTAACTACTTTTTTTTTTAAACTAAGCAGAATACAAAAATCTAAAAATCTCTCATTTGATAATTTACGAAAATTATTTGATAAATTTCATAGTACAATCTTCAGTCTTGTCTTTTTCAAGCACAGTGATCAGTGCATCTCAAAGCTGAGGAAACTGCCAAAGTAACATACAGACTGATTTTAGACTTCTTAAAGAAATCAAAGCCTTCAAGTTGTTCAGTGAGAATGAGGTTTCTTTATTCAAAAAGGTAGTGTAAAATTATAAAACATGAAAGAAAGAAGAAAAAAGAAACTAAGAAACTACATTTTGCTACACTGGGACAGAAACTGGACTTTCCAAATAGCTTCTACCCAGAAAATAAAGAAAGACCAACAGTAGCCAGAGTTCTTATACTACTATTAAAAAATAAATTAGAAAAGGTTTAAATTTTTACATCCAGTTTGAGATCAACTTGAGAATAAAATACCTGCCTAGCAGCTCTTTTGTAAAATGTTACTATATGAAAAAGAAACTAAGCAAATTACCTTCTTATTTCTAACAGAAGTATTATGTAGAAAACACACGTCCAGTTTCTTTAACATTGAGAGACTTAAGTGTCACGTGTTCATAGGAGGCACTGCTGGTGGAAGACCCTAGAGCATAATGTACACCACAGCCCTCAGCCCTACAAGTCCCAAGAGTTACTCACATAACATGCTTTTCGTTGTGTGCGGGTCTGCTTTTAAGAGCAACTCTAATCATTAATATTCAGGATATAGGTAATCAAGAACTCTAAGAATGACAAGACTTTCCATTGCACAACAGGTACATGATATTTTGAGTTTTGTACCTTCACACAAATTCTGAAGGCAACATCATTTATAAAACTAGTAGGCAAATGTATAACATTTTTTAATAGTAAAAACTCATGATAAATATCTCCCATGCCAAAGTATTAGCATATATTACACTCTGGCCACCATATAAATTAGTTTCACTATTAGAAAGCAGAATCTACATCCTTCAGGCAAAGATTACGTAAACAATTCAAGAAATCTGTCTTAAAATCTGAATAGTCATTAGTCATTCAATGAGAGGCTCTTAGTTCCACAAATAATACCCAGTTAGTAGTAACATATCCCAGTGATTGCCCAAAGTGAAACCTTCATGTAGAGTAACATTTTACAAAAGTTACTGTATATTATATTCACACATAACAAAATCAAGTTAGCACTTTAATTCATATTTTTCAGAATAAATTCTACTTTCTTAGAAGTAAAACTGAATTCACAGGAAAAGGACTAAAGTGCTAAATTTTTCTTTTATAATTTTCAACGATCATTCAAAACACCTAATGTAATTAGGATGGTTATTTCTAAATCATATTTTTTAAAGTAGTAATTTTTCTTAAAAAACAAAAACTGCTTTTTCCCCGATTTGAAAAATTTTACTCACGGATTTTGTGGGGAATGCTCCTTTGGTTATTACATACAACAGAATTGTAAAACCACAAGAAACTCAAATGAAGAAGTTTCCTATTTAGCAATACACCTTAAATGTCCAAACCTACACTAAAAGCTAGAAAGTAGGAATTCCTAACAAAATGTCTCAGCTCTCCTTAAAAACAGCAGTTAAGTCACATGAGAAAAGTCTTTTTATGTAAACATCAAGAACTTTTAAAAGCGTCAAAACACAACAGCAAAACTTAATCCCAATTCATTAGCTTAAAACAATCTATCCTAAGTAAAAATTACACTGAAAAGCCTAATGTCGATGTTTTAAGCTTTTTAAGAGGCTTCAGAAGCACGGTGGACAGTGTGCTCCAGATATGCCAGCACGTAATCTATCCACATACGAAGTTAATTTCAAACATAAATAGCCTGCGGAGCTTGTCATCAATTCTCTTCAGCTTTCAGAAGCAATAACCATAAATCACACAGGCCTTAGGTCTATATTTTTTTTCATCAAAAGACATGGAAGGAGGATCATGAAGTCACTGACGTCCATACTTCCACCTCCAAGAAAGACTACACAGAATGCACCTTCAGAAGGTAGCAGCCTAAGAAGCGGTCTGCTTTTTTTATATTAATAAAGTCAAGAACCTATATGCAAACAGAAGCAAAGCCCCCTGATAACTCAAACCTTGCACAGACCAACAGGGTTGACTAAAAACAGCATACAAGCCTCAACCAGCTTCATCTAGATGGTCTTTAGATTCTGTTACTGGCACTTAAAGATGTCACCAGTCACAGGACATAAGGAGCAAGAGATGAGTACAAAGCGTGATGCGATAAAGAGGGCGTTTCTAACGGGCTGCATGCATCTAACAGCTGCTCGGGCTCACTCCAGTGGTGGGTGACATGACTCAAGCGGCGGACCCTGACTGACCCAGAGAGGCATGGAGACCCTCAGAGAAACAAAAGGGAACCAAGAAGACAGCACACAACGATCACGATTGTTCAGCTTCTCAATTCAAAAATCCATACAATGGAAAATGAAAATACTGTAAGACTGTTTAGGTTAATAAATTACAATTCCTGCCACCTGATCAGAAAGCCCTAGATGGGCCTCACAAATGCAGGGAAGGTACAAGGCAGTCAGTGTCCCCAAAGCCTGGCAAAGGTCTAAAAGAACCCAAGCACATGAGCAAAGGGTGCTTCAGGATGGTTCCTCTAAATTAAGCTAATATTTTCCACCACTACAGAGAGCACAGACTACATCTCTACTGTTTACCTTGCTATCCCTGGAGTCTGGCACAGAGGAGGCACTCAAAGAATGAACAAGTATCTTCCTAAGCCCAAAACGTATGCAGGGAAACCTACAAACCTCTCAAGACTGCCTACATAAGAAAGCATATAAAACAAAAATCCAACAAGTGACTTTACCTCAATTTTAGCATACACCACAGAACATAATACCCTTATAGCATAAAGGCTTAGATAACTGACTTTTCTTCGGTTTTACTGATTAGAATAGAAATCTCTTACGTTTAAAGAATACCTAACCAAGTCCTGCTTTCTCTGGTCTGTTTTAGAATTAATATTTGCTCTGAAAAGTAAACTGGTATGACAGTTAGTTTGATGAGCTGGTTAAATAAATCATCAGAACTGAAGGCACCAGTGCAGGGCTGATTCGATTTCTATCCACCCCACAGCGACCTGCTGGGAACCAATGCCACAATGACTTTTTCCCTCTGTAATATAAGAATGCAGTCCTACACCCGAGCCAGCTAGAGAACTACTACACAGTGCCTATGTGGGCCACTGTCCACATGGGTCCAGCCATGGAACATGGGGGGCTTGGCATAAAGCCATTATCAGCCATTCACTGATGGTTAAGTCAACTCTGTCATCTCGAAGTGTGAAGAACAATTTTTTAAATTGCCAACAGTAAAACCCAGAGAATGCTTCTCCTGTAGAGGCAGCCTGAATGTAATCTAGACATGCACATTTTTTTACTTTCACACGATAACCTACTACTGGACTCTATGGAACTCTCAGAAAGACACATGCTATAGAGTAACTCATAAGCACTATTCAAAAATGTATGAATGAAAAAAAAAAGTATGAATGAGTAAAAAAAAAATCAGTATCCATTAAGACTGTATTTCTCTATGTCACACTTCAAGCCTGACAAAACAGGGATTGCAGAAATAAAAACACAATAATCTCTGAAAGACCCAGGGCCAAACTAAACATGCAGAACTGGACCATAGAAATGTCTCTCTCATAGGAAGTGAAATTAAACCAACAACTACAACTATCTGCTTTCCAATAGCTCCCCAGTTATTTCATCTGCTCCTCCCAGCACATACCTCACGCACAATCCAGAACAATTCAAAACATCTTTTTCCTGCTCTTGCCACTGTTCTGTTCATTTTGAAAGGTATGAACAATTCCAGCATGTACTTTCTTCTAAATTTGGTTAAGAAGGCCTGTTCTGTTTCCAGTCATTATACAAACCTACTGCTCTCAGCACATTTTCAGTTAAAAAAGACATACTTCATCCTGAGTGTGGGCATTCTGTAACCACTGCATGCGAGAACATACCGCCTGTCAGCATCACAGAGAGAAGAATGCAACCTCTGACTTTAAAACAATATACGATACAGTCACAAATTTAGAATTTGTTCTTAAATGTAATTCAGTAGTGAAACACCATGTTCTAAAGGGCATTTATAGCAACACAGCAAATAACATGAAGTAAATTCACAATATTCAGTATCTAATTGATGTATAATTATTGCTAAGACTACCCTGTGTTTTTATCAGGTATATGTTTATAATTGTGTCCATCACAATTTTTAGACTGTACTGGAACAGTTACTCAGAAATTTCTTCAGTGCTAACACAAAAGGAAGACTCATAAAAATGCACATCAGTGTTCTGCACTTCAACAGTAAGAAGCTATAACTTGAATGCATTCAGACCTGTAGCAGGCTGCTGCTGCTGTGTAAGAGTTGCAGCCATGGCAACGGCTGCTGCGTTTGGCATGTTGCTGAAGGGGGTGGGTCCAGTAGTGACTCGGGGTGCGTTCTGCCACTTCTTGGCTTCTGCTCGCCTGGCTTCGAACACATCCACAGCATCTCCCAAGAACATTTTCCTGTAGCCAAGGTACTGTTCTTTGAGCACCTACAGAAATGAAAAATAGAACATGTTAATCAGTCTTGTGCTGACTTTGACACTATGAGGGTGAATATAACCATGCAATAAGTTAGCAAAGACAGATCAAAAACACTGCCAGCATCATATACTTCATCTAACTTGCCAATCACAGTGCTGGCACTGCACACGCACGGTGTGGGAAGTGGTGAATTTGAGAGTTCTACCACACCTTTGTATAGTGTCTTCCGGCTTTTAGCCATATGTCTTTACAATCAACTGCCTGCATATTCTGGCTTCCTGAGGCCCTCTTTAAAATAAGTTAAGAGAGCTTGCAGACAAGCAGAGTAATATCGAAAATTCCATTTTAAATATTCTAATTTTTCATGACAATTTCCCCTTTAATAGTCAACCTTTGGATAATTCAGATATAAAGAGCTTAAAAAAAGCCTACTAAATATATATATAGGCATATATATATTATATATATATATTAAAAATATATATTAAATATCTTTTAAAAGGTGCAGGTGACATATTAAAAATGTCACCAAAGCAAAGAGAGCTTGGAGGGTATACTTTATCAATACTGTTTGATTATTTTACAATGAGAATAACATGGTCAAAGTGAAAGACGCTCAGTCGTGTCTGACTCTACGCAACCCCATGGACTATACAGTCTATGCAATTCTCCAGGCCAGAATACTGCAGTGGGGTAGCCTTTCCCTTTTTCAGGGGATCTTTCCAGGTCTCACGCACTGCAGGCAGATTCTTTATCAGCTGAACCACAAGGGAAGCCCAAAAATACTGGAGTGGGTAAAGCCTATCCCTTCTCCAGCAGATCTTCCTGACCCAAGTATCGAACCGGTCTCCTTCATTGCAGGCGGTTTCTTTACAAACTGAGCTATCAGGGAAGCCCAAGAAAAAATTACCAAGTTCATAAGATGGGTAGGATAACCCAACACAACATCTTCCTTAATTAAGGCTATGAATAGGAATGATTCTGTTTCACCCTGGAATTATTAAATACTTTCCTTAAGAGTTTTGCTTAAATAAATCAACATATACTACTTTTTACATATTTGAAAACCTTCATAAGAAGACAAGGAAGAAAAATATCTGCACAATATAGACTTTTTTTTCCATTTTTTATGTGATATTTCCAAATATAAAAAAAGTCAAGATTCTTACACCAATGATCTCAAATGAGACCATGCAAAGCAAAGTGTATACAACAATCATTTCCCCTTCAGTTCTGTGTGATCGACAGAAAACTGAATGGCATATGCCTGGTTGAAAAATTTTACCAGTTTACCAAAAAACAAAAACCAAACCCCACCAACAACCCAGCAACGAACATGCAAGCCAGTTGCTACTTTATGTCTACAAGTTACTTCATAAACTTTTTTAATTAGGAGGCACACTGAACTGAAAATTTTAGTTGCCCAAATTTATCCTGCTACCCCACAGAAAGCACAGGTGACAGTCCCAACACTCTGTAAACTTCGGAGAGTTGAGACAGTAGACACTATTTGTTATCTATAGTATGTTCAGCTCTTGAGTCTGCCAAAGTCGGCTTTTTCTCTTAACAGAAATAAATCTCCTTAGGGCCTTTCCCCTAGGAAATTTTGCTAGGCTGGGTTCCAAAAGAATAGTGAAGTGTGAAATTTAAAGTGTGACAACTGAAGTATTTTGATGCATTATACAAATTTTTCCTAGTTGCACAGACTAAAGACAGGTGGTTTGCTAAACAGCACTGAAGAAAATCCTGACCCAGTGGTACTATTTAGTCCAAATACAACATAGACTTCAAAGTGCCAAGACAGAACCACCTTCAGCACTTTAAAAAACTAAACACTTATTACAAAGTTTCAAGAGAATTTAATAAAAATTCCTCCTTTAAAATTAAGTTATAAAAAAAGTTATTTTAAAGATTTGGTTTAAAATTTTTAATCAATCAAAGCAAAGGGTCTGAACTATGCTATCACTTCAAAAATAGTATGATTTAAGTGGTTAACATTAAAAAATTCTATCATCATGCATCAGAATAAAAATGAAAACTCTGGTAATCTCCATGAAATTCTAATCTATACAGTTAAGAATTTATCTAGATTCAAGTTTGGATGCTTTGAATTTTAAAGGTTTTCTCTGACCATATATAAATCCAAGAAAGACCAATTATATTTGCTTGATTGGTAAAGTATACCTATATTTATTTCACCCAAGTAATTTTTAAAAATGAACATATTACACAAGGCTCAAAATATTCAGTGACAATTTTTTTTATTTTTATTATTTGATAAATACAGTTTCCTGTGTTTAGAAGGGACAATTGTTAGCAAGTTTTTTTTAATGAAGGGTCCAATAAACACTTAAAACACACATAAAATTCAAGCAGTGGGAAATGACTCTGCTACTAAGAATGTTTACCTTCTACAGTGCTGTAAGAGATGGAAACAACCAAAATGTCTAACAAAAGACAATGGGTTAAACAAACTGCACATACATGCAACAAAATCCTGCTTAACTACTAAAACGATGGCAAACAAGTACATGTTTGAATGTGGAAAGTCATTTACAATATGCTGATGAAAAAGTTAACACACTTCACAGAACACTTGCCCGGTTGTATCTGGGCATATTTTTCAGAGTTGGTCTTTTTCACTTACAAGTAATCTGAGCTATTTCTATGATGAGCATGGACACGTTTGTCCTGCAAATGAACAAATACTTCACTTGGTGCAGATGTCCAGATAAATGAGCAAGGAATGAGAACTCACCTTCACATTTTCATGAATAGACTGAAGCTGTGCAGCTAAAGCTACAAATGTTTGATAAATTTTCTGCATAGCCATTGACAAATCTATAAAAGAAAATCATATTATCACACAAATACATATATAACACAATCAATATTATTCCTCTACTACTTGAGTCCATTTCTTGGCACAGTTAACGTGTAGGATGAAAAAAATTACACCAATACTTCCAAGGACGGGAGAAGACAGCAGAACAGACTGAGAGAAGGATTTCTCTCTATCGGTAATCTGGGGGACGTGGGACCCAGGACATCTGCCCATGATATCATAATCATTCATAATAAAGCATTTCATATTTGTAAGAAATAAAGATCTAATCAATGACTTAAGGAAACTGTCTTACGGCAGTTTAAGACAGCTACTAAAAGCACTATTAAAAAAGGACCACAGAAAGCATGTTACCTTGTGGGGTGATATGTGAATTGTTTGCTTGGGTGGCAAGATGGTTCTCCAGCTCCTCAATCTGCTGTCGGTACTGCTGGAGCTGCACCTCAAACTGCTGAACCAGGATCCTGAAGTAGCTACATGAGAACATTTACCAAGTCAGACCATGGCGTAAAAACGCTGCTTCCTTCATATTCAAAACGCCAACAAAAACAGCCCTCTGTTTAAGTATGGCCTTTAGTCTGATGACACAATGTACCTCTAAGTGACGCAAGTATTACTGAAACAAAACCTCAAATTTATAAGTTATCAAGGTATCAAAAATAGATGCAAATCCTTACTCCAATCATGAAAAATCTCAATTAAGGGATAATCTACAAAATAACTTAATACTCTTTAAAATGTCAAGGTCATCAAAGAAAAGACTGAATAAATGTTGTAGACTGGAAGTGACATAACAACTAAATGCAATGTGAAAAGAATCCTAGAACAGAAAAAGTACACTAGTGGAAAAGACAGTAAAATTCAAGTAAATTCTGTATTTTGGTTAATACAGTAGCAATGTGAATTTCCTCTTCCTGATAATTATACTATGATTATGCAATATGTTAACAGTAAGGGAAACAGGTAAGAAGTGGAAGAAAACTCTTCGTACTATACTACCAGTATTGCAACTTTAAGTCTAAAATTTAAAAGAAAAAGTTTTTTTAAAAAAGTGCAATTGTCAACCAGATTTTACAGCCAAATACTTAAGAGTTCTTTTATTTATAATTGGAAGTACTATTTATAGGCTGCAAACACTACAGGGTACTACAGGAGTATATAATTACAATTACTATTCTGTTAAACATAACCAGAGAATGCGAGATTGATAAAAAGAGACCTTGAATAGCATGAAACACAGTTGGAACCGACTATAAGAAACAGGGAACTGTGAAAGCTTTTACAGTGGAAAATCATATGATTCAACCCATTTCAGAATTAGCTCTGATGGCAGACTGAAGAACAAGACAGCAGGATAAGATACTGAGGAAGTCCAGCAAAGCAGCTCACTCCATGCTCATCTGAATAAAGCAACAGGAGTTATCACCATCATTGTCACTGTCTGAGTTTGACCACTGCACTGTGGTTATGAAGGAGAGTATCCTTATGTTGAAGAAATATACTCCAAAGCACTCAAGCATTCAAGGGCATCATTTCGACAAACAACTCTACACAGGGGAAATGTGTTTATAAACATGGACAGCAAGGAACAAAACAACTGCAGTAAAAATGCTAACATGAGGGGAATCTGGGTGAAAGATATGTGAGAATTCTTGGGTTTTATTCTTGGAACTTTTTTGCAAATCTGAAATCAAAACAAAATTTAAAAAAAAGAATAAGGGACCAGGAGTCCAACGGACCCCGCCCACCCAGAAGCTCAGGACTCCCATCTCCATGCCTCAGGCTCCCCATCTCTTAGACTGGACTCTGACAGCTGGAGAGGATTTGTGCAGTCAGATCTGGCAGTAAAGAGCCAAGCACCCAGGTGGTATATGGCAAGCATCTGACAATGCTCACTATTGTCCTCTTGCATAACACAAAAGGATATGGAAACAGACAACAAGATACATACCACATGTATGGAAACTAGATGAATACACAAGCTGGGTACACTTAGATTTTTCAAACTGCTTATCTACACAATTTTTCTTCCTGAAGATTATTATGTATGCAAATAAGTTATGGATGCAAATAAATTTATGGAAATAAATAAAAGGGTTAAACTATACTTAGTATGCCCTGTTTAAGGAAGAGACTATCATAAAAATATTTTTAAACTGAAAGTACTTATGGTATAATCATAAGTTTCTACTATCTGCACAACGTAATCAAGTGGAACAGACCCTGTAAACAATACGAAGTGCAACTGCAGAAGAGTGCTGAAAAGCTCGACCTTAGCTTTCACTTACCCTTTAGTAAAATGGGGGTGATATACTTTCTTAGAATTATTATGAGAATTAAATTTTAAAAATTCACACAAAGTACCCAGACTCGCTAAAAAGTGAACTAAGAAATCCATGGCCTGTATACTGTTTTTATTGTTCTGCTATTTTAAAGACAAACATTTATTTAACTTACTCAGCAGGAGCTGTATTTTCATGTTGCAATCCAGGTGGTGTTTTCTGGGTTCTTAAAGCTATTTCAGCATTTTTTAGCTCCTAATATAACAAAGGTTTTAAAAAAGAAAAGCCAGTTAAAAGTCAGGCTAAAAATACCAACCATCTCAGGATTTCAGCAAAGCCACTCTCAGAGCTTCATATGCTGTGAGAACATATTGTGACTGAAGCTCCTTCACAAGGTGCTGAAACCTCCTTTCAGGCAGGACAATCTACACTTTCAAGAACAAATTTCATAATAAATGTAAAATGAACTGCTGGACTATCTTAAAATATGGATTTATGTAGGATTCATGAAGTTTATTCATCCACAGATACAGACATTATTTTAAACCCTGTACTACACAACCACAGAAAACACTGTTGTACAAAAACAAGGTAAGTAACCCTGAGGATGACGACAGCAGCAGTGCTCACCGTGTACCAAGCCCTTTGCTACAGGTCCCACTCCTCTAACCAACGCCACCTCATGGGGATACTGTGGAAAATCACTGGGTTAATATATCTAGATTGCTTAGAATACTGCCTCATACAAAGTAAGCACTCAATAAAAACCAGTAACTTTTACAGTAATTTAGAAGTATATGTGCTATGTGGCTTTCTTATGCACAAAACTTCATAATTTTTAAGACCTATTTCTATTTAAAAAAAACAAACAAATGAAAAACCCTACAACAAAATGACACTCAGTTTACCTGAGCGGTTTCTATTTTCAGCTTGTCAATATTGAGAGTGTTCCTCTGCAATCCACTGGCAGCCAGTGACAAAAGCTGCTTCAGAGCTTTAATATCTTCCTGGACTTTAAGCATTGCTTTTGAAGACATTCTACTAATTTCTTCTTGAACCTGTTTTTGTTCCTTCACAAATCTCCTAAAAAAAGAAAACTGAGTTTAAAAAAAAAAAAACATCTTTAGGGACTTCCCTGGTGGTCCAGTGGCTAAGCCTCTGTGCTCTTACGGGTCTGGGTTCATTCCCTGGTCAGGGAACTAGATCCCACATGCTACCACTACTAAGACCTGGTTCAGTCAAATAAATAAATAAAAATAAGTACTTTAATTAAAAAAAAAAATACACCGTTGGTTTTCTACAGAAAAAAAGTACATTTACCACACATTGGTCAGAGTCTTAAGTCTGAGTGTTTTGAGAAGCAACTATTAAAAAATTCATCTACAGTTCAGAGAATGGCAGTTACACAATTTTAATTCCTTTATTTCCTTCGTTCAATTGCTCTGCTTCTTTAACTTCTACAGGCATTCCAATGTTCCCCAAGTTTAAATGCTCAGGAGGAGGAGGAGATGGTCCCCCTGGAACCCACCCCCACCCCTGCCCGCGTTGGAGTCTGACTTGGCTCCTGATGACACCTGACTTACTTACTGGAGGTTGTCAACGTCCTGGCAGATGACAGCAGGCAGAGTCTCATCCTTCAGTGCTTTACTGTCCCTGAGAAAGATGCCACAGGCGTATTAACACCCAAGATCATAAGAAGCTGGCAGTTGAATTCTACTACAGTGTGTGTTAAAGCATGTGAAAACAGAGCAAATATTCCTTATTTATAGCTTTCCTGGATGATTTTAAAGTTCCTTATAAAGAGTAATAAACTTCCTGACCTACACAATAACTAACAATTCACCTGACATGGAGGTTTCTGCTCTAAGAAGACTGGCATCTGTTACAAGTACACATAGATGCATTTGACTAAATGTTTCAGAAAAAAATCAGAGAATACTGCAGGGGGGGATGAGATATTAAACTAAGTTTCTCCAGCTCCAAAATCCCAGGACTGACATTTCGTTCAGTTCAAAAATATTACAGCATTCATTAAAGAAAGAAAGCCTGCCAAACTTCTCACAGTGAGATGCTCACAATACTTTTACTTTATTATTTTATAACTTCAATTTGTTCTTCAACAAAATAAGACCTAGGGGTAGCTGAAAGGAATCAAGACTACTTAATAAAGACAGGAATAAATGAAACTCTTCAAACATACACATAAAGTACATGGAGGCCTTCTCCCTCTTCAACATCAGGAAGTGAATGGTGCTGGCACAGTAATTTACATATAAAAGAAAAGGTACATATACATGTTCAATTTGTATATATAAATAAAAAGTGGTCCAAGAGTAAAGTTTCATGAGTTGTTCAATACTTATAAGAAGGTAAAGAGACACTACATATATTTGTGTTTATTTTTATTATTTGAGGAAAAGCTAACTACTTTGTAGAAAGAAATAGTTATAATTTTCTCAAATATCTGACCTTTCACAATCTCTCCAGAGCCTATGTTTATTATTTTGTCACAAAAATTTCAAAATAATTTTTCTTCTAAATGTGTGTATGGTTCCATTTACTTCCAACCATACCATTTGCCTACAGTTTAATAAGTAAAACTCTTTAATTAAAATATTTTAGAAGTCAAATTGTAAACTTACTCTGGTCTTGTTCCTGTTTTATCACCTAGAAAATTGAAAAAGCTTCGTGTAAAAATATGCTATTTATCAGTGTATTCAAAATACAATAAGTTAACACAAACTAAGGTAAGAGTAGAAATGGTTAAGGATTTCTTAGACTGCCTCTTAAACAGTATGTGATGTCACGACTTGTCACGCTCCAATCACAGCATGTTACAGACATATATAACTGTTTATAACAGTTACGCAGGTGATTTGCAAGTATTTCTTTCAAGGGAAAGAAGCTTCCTTTTTCAACTCTCTTCCCTGAAAAATCTTCTTGCTGAGGAGTTTAACTCCTGAGAGCTTTATTTGACACTTTCTAAGGCCCTATTATCAGGCTGTTCCATCTGAGTAAAAAATAAGCTACTAAAACATCTAAGGCTATTTTTGAATTATGGAATTACTACAAAGAAAATTAAGTAAAAATAAGATAGGATCTTGTGTTTAAAATTTTTCAAAGGAAAATAAATCCAAATCTTCTACGGTTAACAGGATTTTATCAACTTTTAGGATAGTAATTCACCCTATAATAGTAATAATAGTAACTTCTATAACAGTAACTTCTAATAATAAAATCCATGTCCAATTTAAAAATTCCATACAGATATAGGACACTAAGTATCCTACAACTTCATGCATTATGTCATTCTAAGTTCTTCAAAGAGGTTCAGTGCAGTATGTACGTATGCACTCTGGAGGAACATGCTTTCATCAGAACAAATCACACACAGAACCAATAACCACAAAGAAAAAACTTCACAATGCATTTGGATTGGAAAAAATTGGCATTTTCATACTGGTTGGTGAGTAAATCTTTCTGGAAAGCACTTTCACAATACATATAATAGGACTCCAAAATGTCCCTCCCTTTAAGCCAATGATTCAATTTCTAGGTATCTGCCTTAAGGAAATAACCAAAATATGAACAAAAACTCCTAATAAAATCAAACAGCATTTTCTGTATGCTTGGCTCTGCTAAGGTTTTACAATCCTCAAACCTACCCCATGAAGCAGGGACTGTTATTTCCCCTACTTCATAAGGGATAAAGGATAAAGAGCTTGAATATGGTCACAGAGCTTGTGAACAGCTGAGCCAGGATATACAGCCAGCAAACGGGCTGGCCATCACACCACATTGCCTCTCTCTGCAAGGCTGCCCAGTACAGTGACATTTCCCAAAGCAACAGTCTGGAGAGAAACACTGACTGGAGGATGATGGCTGATTGGATGATGATGCATCCAGTCAGAAAATTGATGATAAGCATATTAAAATATTTGTAAAGAATTACTGACTCTGATCAAAACTTGCGATATATTACACAAGAAAGAACAGGTTACAAAACAATACATGGATCATGGTCCCGATTTTTAAAATGTGTATTAATATATGCATTCAGATAGTTACATAAGACAAATGCACATACAAATCTCAGTCCTTTACAAAAATAAAATCTTAAATGCATAACACACACAAAATTTGTGAAATATAATGCAAACTTAAAAATTTCCCTATTGAATATTTAACTAATAATTTTTAAGACACAGCAATTATAGACTGTAAGAATGTGAAATTACAGTAACATTACTTACTCTTCTTATCCGATGAGCTACTAAAATCTATACCTCCGAGGCCTTCATTGCCAGCGGCTGAAGTAGCTGATGTAGTTCCCAGAGTCAAGCCTAAAGCACTCTGTCCAAGTCCTACAAACAAGCCAAACATCACTGATAAAGTTTCTCACCCTAATATATAATGAATTACCCGAATGACCAACACACTCAACACCTTTAAGTTGGATCCCAGCTTATCATCGTGCTTGACTTAGACAAATAAAAAGAAACAAGTCCAGAGCATCCTTTGGACAAAGACTGATAATCTCACTTGGATTCAGTGCTATATGTAAGTTTGGATGATGTGATTTTTATCAAGGGACCAGAATATATCTGTTAACTGATATACATGGACACTTGATTTTATTTGATGTTCTTAAACCATATCAAAGTAGTTTTAGTGTGCACATTTTTCAGGTGATTACTTCTTGTCTTCCAATCATGCTTTGGAATTCTATACTTCAAAATCATCCATATTGGATGTATAAATTAACTTGATGGGGGAAATAAGGTATACAGTCAAATCTTCAAGTTGTACATTTTAAATATCTTACAGTTTTACTTGTCAGTTATATTTCAACAAAGCTGGGGAAAAAGAAATAATCTAGCATGAATTTATAAGATTTTTAGTATAATACAAAGCAAACAGTTTTACTATTAATGAATTTTAAAGAACTGATAGAAACTTGCAGTTGAAACATCAAAATTTCACATTCTCAAGTTCTTTTGATTAAACAAACAAAAAAAAGACTTCATTTATTTAAATTCTACTTCACAGACAAAAGGATGTGGAAGAGCTAGACTACAGTTAATCTTAAGTCATCAGTGTACACCTGTGAATCAAGTCTAAACTTCAAAGACCCTGCCCTGGTAAATCATTTAAGTCCATGCATTCTCAAGCTGACATAAGTGTGTTCTTTTTAGACAAGACGCTATTTACTTTAGAAAACAGAAAACAGCAAGATGTACTGGGTAAGAGCATGGGATAAATGAAAACTGGATTTAAATCCTGACAATGTGTGGAAAACACACAGCTGGATAAATGCTATGAATTAAAAAAAAAAATCAATGGCACTTTTAGGTTAACATAACATAGAGCAAGCATTGAATACTGTGTCAACCGAAACAACATGGAGAGACAAAAGCAACCCTGACTCTTCTATTGTTTTTGTGTTTTGATCTCACTGGAATCTTTGGGAAGGATGTTTAAATATTTATCCTGCAAAGAAAGGTATGCTATAGTAAGCTAGTGATTTGGTTATTAGAAGACACCAAAAAAAAAAAAAAGGAGACACCTACAAAACTGACTAACAAAATCATTTAATATTTGCTCTTAATGCCTTGCCTTCAAAACACTCTAATACCCTTTCGTAACATCTGTAACAAAAAGCCATTCCTAGAACCTGGGTCAGGAGGTCAAGTTCTCTCACCGGGAATTTAGAGGCTAAACAATTCAGTACTATCCAACTGCCATTTATTCAAAAGACAAGTTTCTCTGGAACAGTTTACTAACTCTTGAAACAGCTCCTTCTTTGTCTCCTTATCTAGTCAATGTTGAGAAAATTTATTTCTAAAATATGGCAAAGATATCCAATTACGTATGAAAAACTTTTATTATTCACTCTTCTGGAGAGTAGGTGTCACCATTTACCTGATGTTGATGTGCTTGTACCTTGAAAAAGTGAGCCTCCCAAACCAGTCAAGGCCCCTCCTAAAGAGAGGCCTGTTGAGGCAGTGGTAGTTGTGGCTGCTGTTCCACTCAAGTTATTCAGGGTAAATCCTGTGGATGCTATAAAAAGTGAAAACTGTAAGACTTCAAAAAGAAGCATCATTTCTAAGAACATCATAGAAAATACAAAGCATTTTCTTAAACTGATATCAAGATAAAACTGGCTCTTGGGGAGAACTATTCACTAAAGATAACATTACATATACTTAAGAATAGAGAGAAATAGTACCTTTAAAGCAAAAACCAATGACAAGCATAGGCTTTGGTTAATACTAACATGGTATCAGGTGAGAGAGTGCAGACAGTAATAGCCTTCAACCCAGACTACCAACTCCACACTGAAGACCGGATGACTCCTAACCAGGCAAGGTTTATGCGGTCTTTATCTTCCCCTGTCACCAGAATGTTCCTTGAGAACAAAGCAGACAGGAACAGACTCACACGTGACCCCTCATCCAGTACCCTGCTGTGCTCTGTAAGGAGACCAGCTTCCAGGAGGGCCTCTGCTGCTTTAGTGCTCAAGGCAGATCTTCACAAACCAGGATTCAGTGCGTCAACACTGCTCAATGACTGAAGTAAAAATTTTCCCCAACTGAAGTTACCTTTTCTAAAGGTGGCCACCTGTGTTCATTAACTGAAAGAAATGAGAATGAAACCAGAAAATGCCACCATTCTCCATCAGCCTCACCTGCAGGAGTGGATGTCAGTGCAGACGAGAGCGTGAGACCGCTGGCCGAGGTAGAGGCGACGGGCAGCGCAAAGGGCGTGGCGGACGCTGCGGGTTTAGTGAAGCCTAAACTGAAGCCTGTCGTAGATGCAGATGTTGTGGCTGCCGTTCCTGTTTTAAAAAAGAATCCCATCTTAATAACCATACGTATACTATACCGGTATCAATCAGGACCCTAAAAGTCTAAGATCCTACTTTAGATATATGCACTTATAAACGAGAGAAAATCATTCACCAAATCACAGTGAACACCGAAGAGGAAAATCCAACTGAGGTGGTGATACTAGAATTCACCTTCTGCCCCATCTCCAGATTTACCTAGAACAGCGCTTCCCCTCCTTTCTTTTATACTCAACAGAAAAAGTCTTCCCTCTCCAAGACCAAATTAAAACACCTCCTCTGCTACTGGCAACCCTCCTCCTCTGCTCCTCTATCAGCGCCCAGCTGCCTCTCTTCTCCTCCCCATGCGGCTCCTCCAGTCCCTCCGTGTCCGTCTCCTTCCTCAGTTCACGTGTTTTAAAGCACAGCTGATTTAACAATGATTCAAGTGTACAGCAAAGTGATTCAGTTTTATAAATACATACTTTTTTCTTCAGGTTCTTTTCCATTACAGGTTATGACAAGACACTGAATTTAGTTCCCCATACTGTCTATTGATACTTTACACAGAGATACATACTAGTTATGTATCTCTGTTCACTTACTAAATCATACTCTATCTGGCTCTGTTTTTGCTCTCTCACTTCCTAAAACATCTTGCCCACATTCAGAATCTCAACTGTAGGTTCATGGGTCTAAGTCTGTATCTACCTGAGTCTCCAAAGTTATCTCTGCCTTATATCCCTCTGGATTCCACACGTCTCCCTGTAAAAACTTCCCTAAGTTCCCCACAGTCAACTGGGTTGCTAAAACTAGAGACCATGAACATCTGTGGCATACTTTTTCTCTCCTACATTCTGTCAATTCTACTTCTGAGATACCACCACCTCCATCACAATCCACTGAAACTCAGTATTCAAAGCATGCAGACTCAAGGCCACAGCCAGAAGCAGTAGCTCAAAATTATTACACAAAGAAATTATGAATGACCTGTATCTGGCTTCCCCAAGAGAAAAGAAACCAGAAACAGTGCTACTGGCTTGCCCCCGACACTGCTCCTCTATCAGTGCACAGAGGGTCCCTGCCAGGGGAATGTGCTTCGGACACATACAGGTTTTCAAATCTCACAAGAGGAGCCAACTGCTTGACCATGTAACCAATCCTGTCTAAAACTTCAGTGGTTAACAGACATGCTTTCTGTGGATAACAGGCAAGCAGCATCCAAGTAAAGAAAGTCCACCAATCTTTATTTCAATTTTAAGCCTGCATTTAACTAGATGAATTAACTTCTGTGGTTCCTCACTGTCCTCTCATCTTTTTGCATTATTCCCTGGCATCAAGGTCAAGGCAACTGTCGCCCTGGTTACCCACATTCCTGGCAGCATATCATGATGGACAACTACGATAGTATAGAGCTGGAAGGGAATCTAAAACCTTTCATTCCAATACTCTCCTTTGGCAGATAACTAAAAGCTGCCAGATATGACTGTCTAAGGCCTCACAACTCCTTAGAGGTACAACCAGCGCCTAATTCCAAGACTTCTTGCCTAAAGTTTGGTACCTTTTTTTCCATTAAAAGGGCTTAAATGACTGAAATATAACTGTGAAATAAATTTTGACCAAAAAATTCTGTATTTAAAATTTTTTTCTGTAGAAAAGTATTACACAGTCATTGATTTTTTTTATTTTTAAAATACTCAAATACTGAAAAGTTCTTTGAGAAGTCAGTATCTGTTATCTGTATCAGGTCCTCACATGCTGTCTTCTACAGCCCAACTCTGTGAGAGATCAGGAAAGGGCAGAAAACCACAGATCTGGGGCCTCCCCTCAGAAACCCTTACCCAGTTAATCCTGTAGTTATAGTTGTTGTTTTCGCTGGGGACAAAAAGAGAAATAAGCTTGAATCATCAGTGGAAGACTGCACTCTTTTGCCCTGTCATAGGGGAGGATTTGAAATCACCCTGAGGGAGCTGTAACACTGCTGGTGAAACTGACAGGCAACATAGTATCTTCCACCACACTCACGATCCAACACTAGCATTCTTCCTACAGCACTGGTTCCCTTATTACAAGCTGTATATAGTTTGGTTACTTAGGGACTGAGTTGTAAAATGCAAGCAACTTCTGCCTATAACAAAATCGAGCAAAGAGGGGAAAAAAAGCTACTCCCAACAAAACACCAGCACTGTCTCGAGAGGCACACTCACGTTGGTCCCACAGCCCTTCCATGGTCTCTGTGTAGCCGTGGGAAGTGCTACAGTGAGGCTGGCAGCTCAGTGCCGAAGGGGGTAACAGAGACCCAGAGGCTCTGAGGGCAGACGACAAAGCTAAGCAAACTTTTAAATGGTGGCTCCAGTGAAACATATTTTCGGCTTATAACAAAATTTTTTTTAATTATTATTAAAATGTCTACCAGAAAGCTTTACCTCCTGCCCTTTCCCAGTGAAACAACTGTTTTTAATAGTAAAAAAATTTAAGACATCTCTTAGGGATGTAAATTATAATGTTACAGCAAAATAGGAAGCTGACTGTCCCATATATGCTAAATTAATGTCCAAACTCTAAACCTGACTTAATCTTCACTAACGTAAAACACTATGTTATGTAATCGAACATAAACTTTAGAATTACTTTAATTTGTTATATTTAAAAAGATTTATTTTCTTTCATTCTTAGATGTATGTGTGTTGTCCCTCCTTCACTGAAGTAAATCACAGTTAATGGTTGGCCCTATCTCTGGCCCTTAATCCCACATCCCTGTATGGCTTTTCCTGTCAGTAGTCATTTTTTTAAAGTCTACCACCAATGATGATTCTTTTTTTTTCCCCCCAATGATGATTCTTGTAAAGGGAGGAGACAGAGGACAGAACCTGCAAAGAATGAATATCACAAACCCACTCCCTGAGAATGTGACGATTCCCCTTACCTGTGCTCGTTCCTCCCAGAGTGAACCCCGTGGCAGGTTTAGATCCAAAGAGGCTGGTTCCAAAGCCACCAGAAGCAGATGTCGTCGCTGGAGTGGAGGTACTCCCAAGGGTCCCAAAATTGAGCCCCACAGAAGGGTTGCTTGTTTATAAAAAAACACAAAGTAAAGTCTCCTAGAGCCAATATTGTTTAAGACAAATGCAAGCTAGCTCTTCGAAGTTAGTATCTCACTCATGTCCACAGGCTACAAATATAACTAACAATTTACCTTTAACCAACCAAGCTCAAATATTTTCCTGTTCTCTTTAATAATAAATCCACATATAAAAAAATCCACCCTTAAAAAAAGGCAACATCAGTCTTCAAGAAAAGTAGGATCTAGAGCAGCTAGGATTTCAGATCCCAAGGAGTTATAAACAGGATCACATATATTCTGCTCTCGCTAGTTTTTGTTTGAAAGTTGACATATTTTAAAACAACCATAGGAAATCCTATAAATGTGGATCATTCTCCTTTTGAACTAAGTATGTACGATTCACACTGCTAAGCTCATTTGTCCTTCCCCAACTGCTACAGAAAACACATGACCAGAAATAGAAAAGTTAGTCTAAGTTGTTTCCACTCCCTCTCTATCACTATATTACCACCACTAGGACTCAGGGTGAGGGACACAAACAGATGTGTCCAGGCACAAGGAACCTGCAAAGCAAAACTACCCTCTACCACAACAACATGAAATCGGCAGAAGTCAGAGCTCTTCAGAGCTTCTGAAAGCTTAAAAAAGAGCAGCTGACAATGACAAGTGATGTGAACAAAGTTTACAGCTTTTCAACTGTTCTTAGAAAGCTGCAGAGGCTCAAATTTGCTATCTATAAATGGGAGAACAAATTATGAAAACAAGCCAAAATATCTTGACAATCTGAGACTTCAATATATGTAGGAGAATTAAGAGTGATTATAACCTGTATAACATAAAGGGAAATCCCATTCATCCTATGCCCAAATCTTTATTTCTTCTCTCTCTGCTCTTCCACATAGACATAAATGCCACAACAAAACCCAAGGTCAGTTTTAAAATATCTTCAAAGCCTGCAGCATTTCAACTAAAGAGGGCAGGCAGCAGTGATTGGGCCAGGCTCCAGTACCAGCTCTCCAACCTCCTGGCACTTGTGTGACATACCCTTTCTGAGCCTCTATTTCCTCAAAAGCAAAATGGGAATAACAAGGATTTCCTATAAAGATTTAGAGATTATGAAGAGCACATTAACTTCATTCAATAAATGTTGTTGCTATTGTTATCATAAGGAGCACTTATAATTCAACTAAACACACTATGTACACGGTATTATGCCAGGAAATCACTGTGAGAGGAATGGAGAGGGAAGAGCTTCTCAAGGAAGGAGAGCTTGAAATCAGTCATCAGCACTGAGCAGGAAGGAGGAGAAGGTGCACCCTGTGTCTTTCCTCGTCAGCAATGTGTATGTGCCCCTGGTATATATAAGCACAGGGGACTGGCAGAGCAGGGCTGCTAGGTCTCACCCACAAATACAATCAACTAAATCAAACTGTATTTTACAAAACAGAATCAAATTAAGAAAATGTTTATTAGGCTCCCCTTGCTCCGAAACAAATCAGCAACTCCATGTTTCTGCTGCTTTCCCATGAACATACAAAAGATGTATAGTGAAAGTATGCACATTTAAGACAAGTATTTAAAATTTCGTGACAATTCAAGACAAGTGGAGACACAATGAAGTGTTTCACAACTTCATACAGTTGAAAACATTACCAAAGAAAATACATCATAGTGAAATCTTACTTCACCAGAGAAGCAAAGGAGAAATTTCTCTGTGGCAGAGAAGTTCACTGAAAGAAAAACAAAAAGCTACCCCAGACCTAATCAATTACTGTCTTAAACAATATAAGTATCTGCCAATTCCTCAACAGAATGTGTTGTAGAAAAGCCAGAAGACTGAGACAGATCTGGAATGGAATCTTACCTTCCCTGCTGGCCTTACTGTGGACTTCAGAGCTAAACTAACAGGTGACATTTACAGAGTAAACCAGCTCATTTCACCCAGCAACCCTTTGAGATAAATAGTATGTTATCATACACCTTTCCCAGATATGGGGAACTGAAGCTGGGAGAGTAACTTCCCCAAAATGATTTCCCAAAAGAATGTTAGGTCTCCAAACCAGTACTTCAATAGGCAGGTGTTAGACCATCTCTTCTTTTATTAATTTCCCAAGACTTTCTAAAGCGTGTATAAAATTTTCTAGTTTATTACTCACTCATTCAACAAGTATTTATAAAAGTCCTTTTATATGGCTAGGCACTGTCACAGGGTCTTGGAGTGATAAATTAGCTTAAGACCTTGCCCTCAGGAAGTTCCCAACCAGAGAAATATTTATCATTCAGGTGGTGCTAGTGGTAAAGAACCCACCTGCCAATGCAGGAGACATAAGAGATGCAGGTTCAATCCCTGGGTCAGGAAGATCCCCTGGAGGAGGGCATGGCAACCCACTCCAGTATTCTTGTCTGGAGAATCCCACAGACAGAGAAGCCTGCTGGGCTATACAGTCCATAGGGTTGCGACAAACACACCAAAGCAACTTAGCACATGCACACACATTCAACAAGTATGTACTGAGCTCCACTGTCTCAGTGTCTCTCGGAAAACCAGCATGAAAAGATCTCCACCATCATGGAGCTTACACTGTACTGTTGAGATCAGACAATAAACAAGTCAACAAAAAATGAAATGAACTGACCACAACAGTTTAAGTGCTCTGACATCAGGTAAGGGATGGAGACCCCTCTCCACTGACAGGTCTTGAAAAGCCTCCCTGGGCTGTAACCACCCGAGGCCCACAGCAGGCATCAGCTCAGGGAACTGCCCTCAAGTTGGAAGGGGTTTGGCCCTCCTTCACCTGAGGAACTGAGAAAATGTCCAAGTCGTTTTTTTCAAACTAAGATCAGGATCCACCACAGGAGAATAACCAGCATTTAAAAAAAGAAAGAAAGAAAGAAACAAGAGTAACAGGTCAAAAAAGAAAAAGAGAAAAGATCAAAAGATCAAAGTGCATAGAAAATATCAAAGTGTAACTGTAGTACCTTTTGTTGAAACTTTGTTTCAGTTACTTATTGGTGTGCCTGCAGGTTTTGTTTTGTTTACAGTGCACTAGCTTATATTACTAAACTGGAGCAAACAAATGAGGTGGGCTCAGGATGTCCAGACCAGGTCCGGTAGACCATGGTAAGATTCATTTTATTTCATTTGGAAAACAGCAGAAAGTCACTGATGAAAGGCAATGGAAAAAAAATTTTTTTTAATTACCCTGGCGATAATGTTGTTTAAAAAAAAAAAAAGCTGACGTGAATGCAGCTGAGACAATTGGGATTATAGGGAACTAATCAAAGTAGATGGAAGCAGTTTTCATCTAACATGAGAGAGGTCACTGGTTGAGAAATTGGCAGGAATCTTAAGTATTTTCCTAAGAATGTAAGCTTCAGGAGAACAGGACTTATTTTACCGCCTAAAAGAGAGCCTATTACATAGGAACCTGTTCTACAAATGACGAGCCTACAACATGGTGGTGTCTCTGGAAGTAAAGCAAATGGAAAGTGAAGCATTAAAAAGATTAGGCCTTACTGATTACGACGGAAGGAGCTATTAAGGAAAACTCCAGATTTCTGACCTCACTGCATAGTCTGTGCCCCCCTCCCTTTTGGTACAGGCAAAGCTATAGCTTTTGTTTTGGTGTGTTTTTTTGGCCTTGATAATCTACAGTCACATTCTTCAAGTTTCAGGAGCTATCTTGTTATTCATTCTACACACACCTCTTGATTTAATGATCTCCTCCACTTTCATAAGCAAAAGATTGAGTTTAAGATTAAACCTCACATCATTGAAAAGATCTTTATCTTATACTGCTTCTTTCTGGAGATCAGCTAGCTGATCACACTTTGGGGTAGGGAGGTGGGTAGCAGGCGCCACAAAAACGACGACTGTGGTGCCTACATTTTACAAGCCAAGTAAAGAACAATGCGAGTCGACACAACGCCCTCACCTGCGTTATACTAATTTGCAGAGACTGTTCGAAATTACCGCCAATAAGCGCTGTAACAAGTATTTGAAACAAACAAAAAACCCCCACAAAAACTCAGGTAGGGTTCCATGAAGCACAAAAGGTTTGAAACCGTGTTTAAAAGAACTAGGAAATCATTAACGTCCCAAACCACATATCCTGCAACGGCGTCTCAATTATCGGGGACAAACTTGACATTGTCCCCCCTTAAAATTTCCTATTGTCTTTTTCTAACCCCAACAAGCTGAGATCCACTCAGCCGCTTGACAGTCAATGGGTGCCGCAGTAGAGTGCCGGGATGGACCCAGAGAAGCCGCGATGCCGCCGCCGAGCCTCCACCCAGGCCATCCACCCCCGCCGCCCGCGACCCTCAGGCCGTCCCCAGCCCCTTAGGGTGCCCCCACAGGCCCTTTGTCCCCCAGGCCGTCCCCCACAGGCCCCTCGTCCCCAAGGTCGCCCCCCACAGGCTCCTCGTCCCCCAGGTCGCCCCACACAGACCCCTTGCCCCCCCGAGGCCACTCGTCCCCTAGGTCGCCCCCCACAGACCCTTCGCCCCGCAGGCCGCCCCCCCACAGGCCCCTCGGCCCTCAGGCTGCCTCCCGCAGGCTCCCACCCGCACTCGCCCCGCCTTCAGGCCCCGGCCCCCAAGGCCGCCTGCCCCCAGCCCCGCCGGGAAAGAGGCCGCTTGCGGTTACCTGGACGTCCCAGTCCCGAAGGAGAAACCTCCACCCGTGCCGCTCCCGCCAGCGGCCACGGTGGAGGAACCCAGCGTGCTGCTCCCGAAGGAGAACCCTGTGGACATGGCTGCGGGCTCCGCGCGCCGTCGGCAAGCTAAAGGGTCGGCACGCCGTTCCCGCCTCAAGGCCCAGGCCGGCCCAGCAGCATCGCTCCCGCCGAGCCGCGACCTGGCGCGAACGGCGAGCCTCGCAGCCGCGAAGACAGGTATGAGCGCGATAGAGGCCGCGCCACCCACGTCTGAGCTGGTCTCGCGCACGCAGCTCCGGAAGCGCGCCGCCGCGCAGGGGCTGCTGGGAAGGGGTGGGGCCAGCGCGCCGCGCGAGTCGCCCTGGGACGGACGGGGGCAGGGCCCGGAGGTACCGCTGGGACAGTGTTTTGGTTTCAGTTCGGTTTTGCGTTTGTGCTCTGTAGCTTCTTTCGTGTATGGCTGTTGAATCTCAGTCAGTTCAGTTCAATTCAGTCGCTCAGTGTGCCCGACTCTTTGCGACCCCATGGACTGCAGCACGCCAGGCCTCCCTGTCCATCACCAACTCCCCGAGTTTACTCAAACTCATGTCCATTGAGTCGCTGATGCCATCCAACCATCTTATACTCTATCTTCCCCTTCTCCTCCCGCCCTCAGTCTTTCCCAGCATCGGGGTCTTTTCAAATTAATAATCTCTCTGTATTAGGTGGCCAAAGTATTGGAGCTTCAGCTTTAGCATCAGTCCTTCCAGTGAATATTCAGGACTGATTTCTTTTAGGATGGTCTGGTTGAATCTCCTTACAGCCCAGGGGACCACCAAGAGCCTTCTCCAACACCACAGTTCAAAAGCATCGATTCTTCGGCGCTCAGCTTTCTTGAATCTCAGTTATTGCTTATATCTTTGCCCTCTGCCAGGGAAAATGCGCAGTGGACCGGACGAAAAAAGTTCCGAAGCGAGGACGATGCAAGGGTTCCGTAAGCAAACCTTACACATAAGAAAAACGGGGTTTTAAAGTGGATATTCCCTCTGGCAGGAGGATGAGGAAAGGCTTGCGGGCGGTGGTGCATTTGAGGTGCACCAAATGCGGGTGCACCTTGTTTTTCCATCAGAGGTTGTCACGTTACTCTTGCAAAGGATTTTCCTACCTGCTGTTGTGTTTTTTTCCCCCCAGTAAAATACATTTTATAAGCAACCGCCGTATTTGCTTTCCAAAACAGTTCCCACCAGGACACTGCCTTGATCAGAAACCCAGTGGCTCTTTCCGTGTGGTACTCAGTGGCTTATAAGTGACGTATCTTTATAACCTGACATGTCACAGCTCCCCTTAATACAGCATTTTCTCCTGCCTTGAGCTTGGGCTACTTGATATGCACTGAACTGTGTCCCTCCGCAACTCACATGTTGAAAACGTAATCCCCGATGTCCTGGTAGTTATTTGAGATGGAGCCTTTGGGAGGCAATAAGGCTTAGATGAGGTCGTGAGACTGGGACCATCATGACAGGATTGGTTCCCTAATAATGAGACACCAGATACAACACTGTAAAGCAACTGTGTGTCTGTGCGTGTGCATATTCGAAATGTTTAGTGGATCGGTCCTGTTGGGCTCTGCGACCCCATGGACTGTAGCCCGCCAGGCTCCTCTCCGTGGGATTTCCAGGCAAGAATACTGGAGTGGGTTCTGATTCAATTCTCCAGGGGATCTTCCCGACCCAGGGATGGAACCCGCCTCTCCTGCATTGGCAGATGGATTCTTTACCACAGAGCCACCTGGGAAGTCAAAGCAACTATACTTCAATAAAAATTAATTTTTAAAATGAGGAAAATTTATTTTAAAGGAAAAAACATTTGTTTTTAATTTATAAAAGTTCTCTTTGGTTCTTCTTCATGTCTGCTAGATCATTAAGAAACTATTTTTTCCCCCATACACTGCAGATATTTTCATCAAGTCTGATCTCTTTAAACATAATGAGCATAATTTTCTTTTTTTACAAACTAAGCCTGATAATTATAAACTCTCATTGCCACTTATGCTGTTCTTGCAAATTATCTCTTTAAGAATTGTTTCCTCTTGTGCTAGTTATTTTCATGGTGAATAATGATTTTCCCTGGAAAATTAATTGTGAGGGTTATTTAAATTTTATTATAGAGTGGCATTTCACCAAAAAAAGGGGGGGGGGGAATTTGTGTTTGCTATGCTAACATTCCTTGCTGTCATTCAGTTGCTAAGTCATATCCAACTCTTTGCTACCCCATGGACTGCAGCACGTCAGGCTTCCTTGTCCTCCATCATCTCCCAGAGGTTGCTCAAACTCATGTCCATTGTGTCAGTGATGCCATCCAACCATCTCATCCTCTATTGCCCTCTTACATTCCTAGGCACTAATCCCAAATGTTTGAAATGATATTCACAACCTGAAGGTTTCTTTGAAAGTCTTTTAGGTGGGATGAACTAGGTTATATAAATTTATCCAATAAATGTTAAGGTAAATTTCCTGCAGTATTCTGGGCACTGGAGTGGTTGAGACTCCTTCTGGTCCTGGCTTCACATAGGTAAAATCTCCCATTGTGCTCACTACCTGAGGTGGGCCCGAGACTTTGACTCCTGGACTTTGGGTGCTGCAAGAGTGTCAAAAGAGGTACTAAATTCACCTGGTTTGGAAATGGCCCTTTGGCAGGAATTTCTGCATCCTGCTTACCTTTCTGCGTACACACTTTCCCTTCCATTTTGCACTTGTAAGTCCTCACTCTCTTCTCAGTTATTTGGTACTTTATGGAATTTGATTTTCTATTTTATTTATTCATCCATACATTTATTTTGGCCATGTTGGGAGGCATATGGGATCTTAGCTCCCCCACCAGGGACCAAATCTGCACCACCTGCATTGGAAGGGCAAAATCTTAACTGCTGGGTTGCCAAGGAAGGCCCTTGATTTTCTATTTTAGATATTATTTTACTTTTTTTTTTAAAAAAAGCACAGACTCATCTCCTAGCCTATCAGATTACCACAAATGAAATTTTAATGGATTTTGAAAAACAAATCAATACTGAACAGTGTTAAGAATATAGACTGTAGAGTCAGACTGTCTGGCTTTACCTCTGAAATCTAGGCTTTATCTGCTGCATGATGTTGGGCAAGTTACTTTATTGTATTTTACTCTCCTCATCTTTAAAATGAGAAGGATAATAGTATTTACCCCATAATACAGATAAAGCACTTGGTACTCTTTCTGTCACCTGGTAATCATTAGTGTTAGTATTGTTACCTCTCTATGAAAACTGAAAAAAGAGAAGATGAGAAATGATAAGAGAGGAGAAGGGGGAGATAGAGTTTTGATGATACATGTATGAAGATGTGAAATGGAGAAAATGACAAAACCTTGGGGGAAAATAATACAGAGAGAGGTTTTTACTTGCTTGGACTCATCACATAATTTTTAAGAGATGATATTAAACTGTGGAGATACCATGCTTTACATCACAATCCCATAATACTGGGTGCTGGATTCAGATAAGACTACATAAAATACAGCTGAGTGTCAAAGAATTGATGCTTTTGAACTGTGGTGTTGGAGAAGACTCTTGAGAGTCCCTTGGACTGCAAGGAGATCCAACAAGTCCATCCTAAAGGAGATCAGTCCTGAATATTCATTGGAAAGACTGATGCTGAAGCTCAAACTCCAGTACTTTGGCCACCTGATGCGAAGAACTAACTCATTTGAAAAGACCCTGATGATGGGAAAAATTGAAGGCGGGAGGAGAAGGGGACGAGATGAGATGAGATGGTTGGATGACATCATCGACTCAATGGACAGGAGTTTAAGTAAACTCCGGGAGTTGGTGATGGACAGGGAGGCCTGGCGTGCTGCAGTCCATGGGGTCGCAAAGAGTCGGACACGACTGAGCGACTGAACTGAGATTCTCGTGAAAGAACTGCAGCTCGGACAAAAGCGGAAGTATCGAGATTTGGTGCCGTCCCCTGATAGGGTATAAAGGGGCTCCAGGGACTCCCCGTCTCTCCCTCACCCACCGAATGCTCTGCACGGCCGGTCCCCACGACTTCGTCCACCGGGTAGAAGCGCGGGCCAGTCGCTATGGAGAGGACCACACTCTCCCGGGGATCGGAGAGCCTCCACCGGCAGGGGGCGCCGTGCGTCCCGCCGCGGGCCTCGGGCGAGTCCGCTGCCGCTCTGCGCGCCGCGCCGCGCCCACTCGGCGCTCCGGGGTTTGCGGAAGTGTTTCCAGGAGACGGCGGGTGGGTGGCGCATGCGCGGCGGGCGCGGCGGGCCGGCGGTGGTGCGACCCCGGACGGTCCGGCGGCGGCGGCGGCCCGTGGGCGCCTAGTCGGGATGGAGCACATCCGTACGACCAAGGTGGGTGCACGGCGGCCGCTCGCGGCGGAGGGCCCGGCGGGCCGGGAGGTCCGGGTGGGTTTTCCGTCAGGCGTTGGGCGCCGGGGGCCTGCGGTCAGTCCCGAGGGACCAGCGGCCTTTCCCCCCGACCCCGCCCCGGTCACCTGCTCCACCTCACTTTCCCTGGGGTGGCGGTTTCCGGCGCCGCTTCAAGCTCTGGGGTCTGTAGAGTTCAATCAGCTGCACAGACGAGGTCCGGAGAAGGGGACTGTGACCCCACGTCTTAACGTGTCTGAGGGAAACGCTCTGCCGCTGAGCTCACGAAATCCCTCGCTTCAGTGTTGTGTGTGAAGGGCACTTACTAGGGTTGTGATCCTGGGACAGCTGTGAAAACGGAAGGGGGTGACATCAGAATATCGGCGACTTGCTTGACCGTCGGCAGTGAAGTTCATCTTCAACTTCGGGCTGGGAAGGGGAAAACAAGTCGAGATCAGAAGCATTGAATGGCCCACGCGGAGCCTTTAACAAAATCAGGACAAGGACCCGCTGTGAGCCTTGACTCTCCCTCCGCGTTTTGTCGAAGCCATCAGTCAGTTGTGGTCCATCCTCAAGTTACAGCTCCTGTAGGGAAAAGAGCATCTTCTTTTCCACTTTCTTCATCTGTCCCAGGGAGAATGTGAGATGGATATCATTAAAATGTTTCACAAACCTTCCTAAGGTGGATTTATATTAAAGCTTTTTTTTTTTAAAGAAAAACATGGCACATGCTGTATCTAATAAAATTAAAGATGCTAAAAAGTAATCCCACTGGAAAAAAAATTTCTCTTTGTATGTTTAATAGAGGAGAGATAAAGTAACTCTGGAATTCACGTTACTGCCACTTCAAGTTTGAAGATAGAGGGTGCCTAAGTAAAGAGGCAAAGCAGTAGAAGGTGCAGAGGTGGAGAAGAGGACTAGCATACACTCAGACCAGGGTCTTGCCCTGGTTTCCAGGTTCTGGGTGTGTGTTAGGTAGTAGCTGTGTGCACCATGACTTCCTCCTGTGCCCAGCTGAACCTCTTCATTGCATCTTTCATCCTGCTGCCTACAGTGTGGAGCACACAATGAAAAAATAGTAAAGAGTGAACTGAACTGAAGCAATCAGAGCAAACCCTACTCAGGATTGGTGAGAGGGGACAGAATGTTAGAAAATGTTTAGGATCCCTTGGCTTATTTTAAATCTTTTCACCTGAAATTTATGATGACTATATATCTTTGTTTCTATTTCTGTAGTTGTAGCAGCTCTCATGCTCTTAAGCTTCTTGCCCATGACTTTCATTTGGTCTGATGTTTCTCTTTAACTACCAGTTGATGGACTTTAATTATGTCTTGTCTTTTCACAGTGGAACCATACTGGTGGTTTACTAAGGTGTTTTTATGAACTTTTTTTAAAGACTAAAAGATTTCTGACTAATTTCTTATTAACATTACTTTTCAAGTGTGCTGCTTTATTCCTTTGGGTTATTTTTCTAGCTTTAGACCACTCCTGCTCTCTTAAGTGCCTGTGAGTGAACTGCAGTTAAACAGATATTTCCTAGGTACTGTTACGTGTCAGGCCCACAACAGTGAGCTAGACAGACATTCTGAGAGTTGCTCAGTGAACTGGATATCCCCCTAAATAATAAATTATTCTTAAAAGATTTTTGTTTCTATTTTTTGTTTCCAACTTTTTGTTTCTATTACACATAGCCTTCACCTGGACAGTTAATTTGCTGCAAAAGTAACTGTAAGTATTTGAAAACTAAAAATGAATTGCTTTCAGTTTATTTAGCTGTTTTTACCTGTGTGGTTTAGTCGCGATCAAGAATTGACTGTCAGAATAGTAACTGTGTAACCAGTGATTTGTTCTGTGTTGTTCAGACTGGCTGTATTTGAGAAGTAATAATTAACCTTTTATTGAGCAAGGGTATGTCAGAATAGCCAACTCTACAATGTGATTTCAAATATTTACAATTCCCAAATATGTTAATTTATACAAAGTCATCACTGATCTTTTACCGCTGCCTTTGGGGACGTTATCTCCATTTACAGATGAGGAGGAAGTCAGCTTCAAGAGTTTAAGCGACCGAGGTAGAGCCTAGATTTACCTCAGTGCTGTCTCACCCACAAACTACACAGTGGCTTTTTCATTGCCTCTCTGCTTTCAGTCTGTTTGTTCAAGTGTATTAATATTAATTCAGAAGTCCTAATAATCCTAAGAGCTTTTTTTCCCCGCAAACAACTTCTTGACATAAGTAAATAAAGAAATAGTATTGTCTTTTGTACTGTTTTAGTCATTTTTAAAAAATTGTTGCTTACTAACCAGAGATGTATCAGATAAAGTATTTTAGCTGACTGCTAATTAGATGGCTTTATAGTTCTAAAATTTAGGATCAGATGTATTATCCTATTTTGGTCACATTTGGCTTACTAACTGTATAGTGTCAATAAAGACGTCAAGTCTGAATTTGCATTTCTGAAAGTGCATTTCCAGGCTATATTTGTGAGCAGTGCAGCAGCTGTCTCTTACTTTGAGCTCTAACTTTGCCCTTAAGGAGAGTCTTGCCAGGAAACAAAGGGAACTGTGCGGAAACAGTCCTTTTATATGCATCCTCTTTCCGCAGCCAGGCCCCAGTGCTTCGGCTGACATCATATGTTGATGCCAAATGGTGTTGTGCTGCTTGTTGTGAATAGAACATTACAGAATGGAATGGGAGGACTTTCCTTGGTGCTCTGTATATGAAAGACCACTTCCTAGAGCTGGTTAAAGAACGGAATATCCCTTGAAAATCTGATCCCACTGAGGCTCAAATTGAGTTATTTCAAAAGTGATGCTTTCTTCTTAGCTTGCTACGTGCCCCCATTTTTTTGTAAATGCATGTGCAAAGGTTATTACTAAAAACAGATCATTTGCTTGAGTAGCGTTGATACTTTATAATAACCTTTATTTCCACGTATATGCGTTAGTTCTCTTTTCTTTAGAGAATTTTGCTTTAATTGCTGCAGGAAATAAGACAGATGAGCTTTAAATCCAGGTATCACTGTTGGCTGACCAGAGTGTCCTTTTTCAGCTGATTCTCACACAGTTAAGGAGGAGTCAACAGTAGTTGATCCCATTGTTTTAAAGATGTTTATGTTTTGATGAGAAGTGTGTGGTATAATAAAGTTAGATTTTTATTTAAGGAAGAAATAGTCCTGAGCAGTGATAGTTTACTTTCCTAACCCTGGATAATAACCTTATTTATTTCTTGACTTGCCAACGTACAAAATACATTGACTCTTGGATACAAAAAAATGTTTTTGCTTATTTATACCACACCCCTCCTCCCTGATTCCCTTTCATATTTATGTTAAATTTCTTACAGAGTTTTTCTCTACAGGCTGTATTTGTTGCTGTAAGTAATATCAATGTTGTTGGTGGCTTATATATTACCCAAGATATATGAAATTTAACTTTCAACCTTAAGTAATCGCATCTTTTTGAACAGAAGGAGGAAGCAGTTTGAAACTGTAATTTAAGTACTGAGATAAAAAGAAGAAGAATTTATATGACTTTGTAATGAGAAATAACACTTTCTCTTTTTCAGGTTGAGCAAGTGAAGCTACTTGACCGGTTCAGTACCAGCAACAAGTCGTTAACAGGAACGCTGTATCTCACGGCCACACATCTGCTCTTCATAGATGCTCATCAGAAAGAAACCTGGGTGAGGCGGGCCTGCGCTGCACTCGTCACTGTAATTACAGTAATGGACTCGCGCCTTGTTTTCTCTGAACATGTGCAAAACAATGCTCCTGTTAGCTGGCTGTCTTAACTGAGGAAATTTCAGTCACGTGATTACATCTGCCCTCCTCTCTAAATAAAACAGTGGTGTCACTGGAGTGAGTGGCATTCTTTCTCAGTGGTGAAGTGTAAGTGAAGGCCAGAAAGAGCACTTGAAGCTCCCAGGGGAAGAGTTAGAGCTGCCTCATCCCAGTGGGTGGGGGCAGCGCAGTGTCATGTGAAGGGGCTCGTGTGGGAGGAGCCGAAAGACGGCTGTTGTCACCACAACTTAGGGATGTGGGGGGACTTGAAGCGAGGCAGGGGAATGGGGAATAGCATGACTAGACAGCTTTTTTTTTTTCATTTTTTAAAAATTAATTAATTAATTAATTTATTTTTTTTTATCACAACCATAGTGTATCTTTTTTTTTTTTTTTTACATGTATTCCCCCCTCCCACCTCCCTCTCCACCCAATCCCTCTGGGTCTTCCCAGTGCACCAGGCCCGAGCACTTGTCTCATGCACCCAACCTGGGCTGGTGAACTGTTTCACCCTAGATAATATACGTGTTTCAATGCTGTTCTCTTGAAACATCCCACCCTCGCCTTCTCCCAGAGTCCACAAGTCTGTTCTATACATAGGAGTCTCTTTTTCTGTTTTGCACATAGGGTTATCGTTACCATCTTTCTAAATTCCATATATATGTGTTAGTATACTGTAATGGTCTTTATCTTTCTGGCTTACTTCGCTCTGTATAATGGGCTCCAATTTCATCCATCTCATTAGAACTGATTCAAATGAATTCTTTTTAATGGCAGAGTAATATTCCATGGTGTATATGTACCACAGCTTCCTCATCCATTCGTCTGCTGATGGGCATCTAGGTTGCTTCCATGTCCTGGCTATTATAAACAGTGCTGCGATGAACATTGGGGTGCACGTGTCTCTTTCAGATCTGGTTTCCTCGGTGTGTATACCCAGAAGTGGGATTGCTGGGTCATATGGCAGTTCTATTTCCAGCTTTTTAAGAAATCTCCACACTGTTTTCCATAGTGGCTGTACTAATTTGCATTCCCACCAACAGTGTAAGAGGGTTCCCTTTTCTCCACACCCTCTCCAGCATTTATTGCTTGTAGACTTTTGGATAGCAGCCATCCTGACTGGTGTGTAATGGTACCTCATTGTGGTTTTGATTTGCATTTCTCTGATAATGAGTGATGTTGAGCATCTTTTCATGTGTTTGTTAGCCATCTGTATGTCTTCCTTGGAGAAATGTCTGTTTAGTTCTTTGGCCCATTTTTTGATTGGGTCATTTATTTTTCTGGAGTTGAGCTGGAGGAGTTGCTTGTATATTTTTGAGATTAATCCTTTGTCTGTTGCTTCGTTTGCTATTATTTTCTCCCAGTCTGAGGGCTAGACAGCTTTTTTTATAATTGCCTTTTATTTTTTTAACTTATTTGATTTTATCTTTAAAAATTATATTGAAGTATTGTTGATTTACAATCTTGTGTTTGTTTCTGTCATCCAACTCAGCTTTATGTTTACATACATACATATATCCTTTTCCATTATGATTTTTTACAGGATATTGAATATAGTTCCCCGTGCTATACAGTGGGATCTTGTTGTTTATCCATCCTATATGTAATAGTTTGCATCTGCTAGTTCCAGATTCCCACTTCTTTCCACCCCTACCTCTCTGCCCCCTTGGCAAACACAAACTTGTTTTCTATGTCTGTGAACCTATTTTTGTTTTGTGGGTATGTTGACTTTTATCATATTTTAGATTCCACATGTAAATAGCATATGGTATTTGCCTTTCTCTTTTTAGCTTACTTAGTGTGATAGTCTCTAGGTCTATCTGTGTTGCTGCAAATGGCATTATTTTATTCTTTTTTATGGCTGAGTAATGTTCCATTGTATAAAGCGTATCTTTATCTATTCATCTGTCGATGAACATTTCAGTTGTTTCCGTGTCTTGGCTATGGTGAATAGTGCTGCTGTGAACATAAAGTGCTTGTGTCTTTTCGAATTGTAGTTTTGTCTGGGTATGTGCCCAGGAGTGGCATTGCTGGGTCATATGTCAACTGTTTAATTGCTTTTCAATGGTCACTCCTCTGCCTTGTAGAAGATGGCTTAGAGAAGGTCAAGAGTGGCTATGGAGAGAGCCTGCGGAGGCTCTTTACAGTAGCTCAGGTGGGACCAGTGGAGACGTTGCACCCAGGGCCATGATGGTGGAGATGGAGAGAAGGCGACAGGGTACAAAGATGTTTCTAGGGTCCTGTTCTCAAGCTCTGATTATGTGTAGAACAGGTACAAGTGGTAGGGAGCTATCAGGCATGTTTCTGGCACGGGCATTTGGTCGTTTAAAAGCTTAAGTGTGTAACCTTGGAGACTCTTTGAAGAGGCATTTCTAACATTTCTGCTCTCTGGCAGAGTAAGATGCTGAGTGCTTTGAAGGTATGACAATGAGCGAATGTTTTCTTGTGCTGTAGATACTGCACCACCATATTGCCTCCGTGGAGAAGCTCGCTCTGACGACTTCCGGGTGCCCCCTGGTGATCCAGTGCAAGAACTTCCGGACTGTGCACTTCATCGTTCCCAGAGAGAGAGACTGCCACGATATTTACAACTCTCTGCTGCAGCTATCAAAGCAAGGTGCTGTTCTTCAAGACCAAAGCTTACTTCTCAATTGACGTGGATTCTCTAAGCTGCTTTTTAAATATCTCATTATTGTTATTTTGTACTTTAAGTTACTCTTAAGGTCATGTGCACTGTATTCCAAAAAATTTGGCCTATAAATAGTTAGAAACTTCTGAATTATAAAACTGGTTTCCAAAGAAGGTATTGTTGTTCAGTCGCTCATTCATGCCTGACTCTTTGTGACTCCATGGACTGTAGTTCGCCAGGTTCCTCTGTCCATGGGATTCTCCAGGCAAGAATAATGGAGTGAGTTGCCATGCCCTCCTCCAGCGAATCTTCCCGACCTAGGGATCACACCTGAGTCTCCTGCATTGGCAGACAGATTCTTTACCACTGGGCCACCAGGGAAGCCCACAGAAGGGGTGATAATAAGGAAAGTGTGAAACATTTAAAACCACTGAAAAACCATAGATTTATGTGGACGTTTTCAAAGTCTGTTGATCACCTGAAGCACAGATTTTTTTTTTTAAGTGGGTATCTCACAACCGAGAGAAATGAGGTGGAAATTGATTCCTAATTAAGTTAAGGGCAGTCAGCCTCCTCTGATAGCAGTGGGATTAGTACATATAATCCAGGGGAGTGGAGTCTGAGGGGTTGACCTCTTCTTTAGCAGAGGTGGCAGTGAGGGTGTGACACACCCTAAGGAGGAATCACATCACTGCTTATGCCCTGGGGTCTGCAGGCTTCCTTCCAGGACATGCTGGAATCTGTCGCTCTCTCCTAGAGGTGAAGCACACCGATTCCTGAATGTTCCGTTGTGTGGAACGCCTGGGTGGCAGTGGTCTGGGAGCGGGTTCACGCTCACTCCCCTCTCCCAGCCCTGGAAGCCTGTGCAGTTGACCCCAGTGTCCCCAGGGCAGCCACGTCTTATAGCAGGGGTGGCCCTGTGACTGGGGCTTGGCCTTGTTCAGGAGGAAGTGGTCTCTTGAGCTCTGCACAGCCTTTGCTGGTGTGGGTCCACACTGTCCCGTTGGTGGGGTGTGTGCTGCCTCAGGTTCTACATGCCACCTCTGGCTTTCCACTAAGTGCACACTGGGCTTCCAGTTCACATCTCATTTGGGGAATGTCTACTTGTATCTTTAAAATTTTACTTTGAGAAAAGGAAATATTGCAGTGTAGTATTTAATGTGTGTGTATTGTTTACTAGCTCTTGCTGATTTTATAAGCTGAATCTCAGATCAATATGTGTGCCTTTAGGTATAATCATCCATTTCAAAGAACTGAAGTGTTAAGTTGTAGTATGTTCAAATGTTAGCTGTCTCTTTGAAGATTTTTTAAATAGAGAGATAAAACTGAAAAATTACTCTCATTTGTAGTGTCCTAAGTCCTAAAAGTTGCCTCTTAACATTCATGTGTTTTGTATACTGTAGCAAAATACGAAGATCTCTATGCGTTCTCTTATAATCCCAAACAAAACGACGCCGAAAGACTGCAGGGATGGGAACTCATTGACCTCGCCGAGGAGTATCAGAGGATGGGAGTGCCCAATTCCAACTGGCAGCTGTCTGACGCCAACCGAGACTACAAGGTACCCATCTCCCTTTCTGGAGGTTCTCAGAATACAAGGTACTGGGGTCAGGGACCGTCAGAACAGTAACTTTTACTGTTCTTGCATTTAGTGAGTTTTAGAGATTTTTAAAGGTGATTTTTAACCTGGTTCTAGAACTGTGAGTAGAATCATTGCATTTTGTTTGATTTTTACAGATCTGTGAAACTTACCCCAGAGAGCTGTATGTGCCCCGAATAGCAAGCAAACCAATAATTGTTGGTAGTTCCAAGTTCCGGAGCAAGGGGAGGTTTCCTGTTCTCTCCTACTACCACCAGAGTAAGGAGGTAGGGAGTTGCTCTGACCTTATTAGTGGGGTACAAGTCCCTGCAGGTCTAGGTGTCCAAAAGAATACCCATCTCTACACTTGGAGGGCACCATCAGTGTTGCCGATAGAGAAGTGCTGACCTTTCCCTTAATTATGTTTCTGAAATTTTGAAACAAAATTATCCTGAAATATGGAAACTTTCATACTTGTCACCTTCCTCCCCTCACCTTTATTGGAATTTTAGTCAGGTTTTAGAAGGGAGCAAGAGGTAAAAAATAAAATTTTAAACAGAAGTCCTCATCAACTTTTCACAGAAAAGTCATAGGGGTTTTATCACTCTCATTATAGCATTTGTTTGACACACCCATGTTTGTGTACATTTTTTTAATTGGAAAACTGGGCTGAACTTAACAAATACAGAAAATGGGTCTGAAAAAAAACCTCAGGCAATCCTTATTTTCTTCTACTATTTTCTTAATTTTCATGATCTTATTTTGTGTGTGAGTTTAAACTGTGTGAATGTGAATTTACGTGTACTTTTTTCCCTCATGATACTATAATTGTAATGTTTGGGTAGGGTCAAGTTGGAGTTACTAAGAATGAGGTTGGAGAAAAAGTATATGGGTCTAAATCTTAGAAATCTTTTTTAAGACTTTAAACAACAGTAAATAATCCAACACACATGGCTTATTATAGATATTTTTGCCCTCTTAGATTGACTGTATTTTAACCAAATTTGAATTCAAACTTATTTTTCTCATAAGTCTCATTATGTATAAACATCAGTGATTTCTAATTAGATATCGGAATGACTTTGGAAGGTAAAAGTTCAAATGTTGCTGTTTTTAAAAATTCTGTTCTACATTTATTGACTAATTTACTTACTTGAACTTGAAAGATCTTGTAACGCAGAGCACAGAATGCAGGTATCTGGTTAGGTTACCTGATAGGGAATCAAACAGTTGTTACTTCTTAGGACCAAAGATTTTGGTTGTTTTTTTTTTTTTTCCATCAAACTCTTGAGTAAGGAGGTATTGATTTCTTAGTAGAAGAGAGTATTGAGAAAACTTAGGTAAATGTCAATATGTTGGAAAGTATTTAATACAAATAGGATTTCCAAGTTGAGAATGAAAGTATTAATCGCTCAGTCATGTCTGACTCTTTGCAACCCAGAATCTTCTGTCCGTGGACTTCTGCAGGCAAGAACACTGAAGTGGGTTGCCATTTCTGTCTCAAGGGGATCTTCCCAAACGACAGATCGAACCTAGGTCCCTGCATTGCAGGCAGATTCTTTACTGTCTGAGTCACTGGGAAATCTAATCGTCCTGTCAGCTTTTAAACAGATTGCACATTTAATTTTAACTGTGGGTTTTTTCTTTTAAGCATGTTTTCAAGATGTGTTATAGACTTCTCTGGATAACCTGCTTTCTCTCTTTCTATAACTAGGCTGCCATTTGTCGCTGTAGTCAGCCGCTGTCAGGGTTCAGTGCCCGGTGCCTCGAAGATGAACACTTACTTCAGGCCATCAGCAAGGCCAACCCAGCCAACCGCTACATGTACGTCATGGACACCAGACCCAGAGTATGTGTCCAGTACAGCCTGGCAGTTCACTGTCTCTGCTGATTCAGTTAGTGGGAGCCGGGCACTGTGTCCATGTTAAACGTGCTGAATCCTAGTTTTAAATGAACCGAGGCTAAGGAAATCAATCTTTTACAGGATACCAACTTAGGAGACCCAGTTCCCAGTAACCCAGGTGGTGATTTTTTTATGTCTTCTGATATATGTACAAGTTTAGGAAAGCTAAATTTTATATCGGGAGCTCTAGATGGTATATCAGCATTATGTTATTGTGAAGTATGTTGTGAAAATTAAAAATTCTCACTACTTTTCATCGAATTTTTAATTGGAAAAACACTTTGTGTTAAAACGATGTTCCTTAATATGGAATATTCAGGAAAATAAGGAAAATAGACAGCTAACTTAAGAAACATTGAACTAGAGAAATGAACTAGTGAACTAGTTGAACGTTGAACACTGAACTAGTGAACAATAAACAATTGTTCTGTTAGGTATCTATCATGTCAAGATAAATTTTTATCTTTGGGACAAATGTCCGAATCCCTTTTTCCTTTTGTCAATGCAGTAAAACAACCAATTCATGTAGGATCCTGAAACTAAAATAATTAAAATCCTCAACAGTAATAGCTAACATTACTTTTAATTTTTATTGTAGCATCGTGTGCAGAGCTGGTGGGCTACACAAAAGGACATTGGCAGAATTATAGTGAGGATTTCTTCAAAAATCTGGAATGATGAGAAAATAAGAGAAAGCGATGAGAAAAAGCGAGTGAGCGATACAAAACACAATTTTAGGCAGCTTTGTTGAAAGGAATCATAGCTGTTTTAGAAGTAATTCTCATCATTATGCAGTTTTACAAAAGATAATGGAGAAAAAGAAGATAAGAGTAATTTGTATAAATTAAGTATTAAAAGAGATTGATAATTTGATAATCTTTGTTTAACAAAAATAAGACTTTCTTAGAAGTCAAGAGTGTTGGTGTTACCTCTTATAAGAAAAATTTTGGTTTACTTCCTAGTATAATTTGAGTGGCTTAATTGCATTGCACTATTTTTAGGTAATATTAGATATAAAGGATGACTGTAATTTAAAACTTTCTGAACATGAGGTCTGAGGGTGATTTGTTTCTCAGGCCCTAATATCTCATATAATTGATGTCTCACAAAAAATGTATATCTTTATTTGATTGTTGTGTTTTACTAGTTAAACCTGAGTACCAATAATGTGGAAGCATTTTTTAAATATCTAAGTCTTGCTTTAGTTATCATAGATCCCGAATTACCAGTGAGTCAGTAGACAATGTAACTGTACTTCTTACCAACCTGAGCCCTAGTCCACTGCAAGAAAAGCAGTTTTTTCTTCCAGTTTAGGTTCTGTTTCATCCAACTCCTTAAGACTATTGACAAATATCATAACATACCATAGGAAATCCCAGTGTCAAAGAATTAAACATGCCAGATATTAACCTCTGAGAGCATTTGCTCTAATAACCTAAGACCATGGGCCCATAGGCGGTCTTTTCTGCCTAGAAATCAGGCTGTTTTGGGCCCAGTTCTTGGCACTGTATCAGGCTAGCTCATTGCATGCTGTGTGGTGTACTGTGTAATCTGATCCAAGTGACCTGACCCATGTTTCAGCTGTGCTTCAGGGTCTCTGTGGCTTTCTGAGTGATCAGGTGCTCCAGGCTTGTTCTGAAGTGAGTCTGAAAGTTCATTCTGTAACAGCTCTGCTCAACCCTGAATTGTGTAGAGTTTAGATGGGAGATAATTCTTTTATAAATTTTGAAATATTACAAACATATGGAAGACTGACTAAATACACATGTGAATCAGTTTCATGAATTATGTGTAGGGAATTTCTTGTCTGATCCTTACGTAGCAAGCGTGTTATTACTTTATAGGATCCTCTGTACTTTGAATAAATATAGATGATACTTTTCAATTATTAAAAAATGGTAGCACATTCAATTTTGATGAGTTCCTTTAAACTCTGCTAGCTAAAAGGTGGTTTATTTAGTGTTTTCGTAATATTTGGTAAATTAAGTTAAAAGAGAAAGGCAATTTGTCTCTAAATTTCTAAAATTTAAAATTTTAGCTGAATGCAATGGCCAACAGAGCAGCTGGAAAAGGTTATGAAAATGAAGACAACTATTCTAACATTAGATTTCAGTTTGTTGGAATTGAAAATATCCATGTCATGCGGTCCAGCCTTCAGAAATTATTGGAAGGTACGATTATTGCATGCCTTCTAGGCAGCTTTGTCCAACAGAAACAATGCTTGTCACAGTATAAAATTTAAAGTTACATACTTAAAAATATGTTAGTAGTTACCATTCAGACATATAAAAAGAACAATTGAAATAAATTTTAATAATGTAATTAAGCTAATATATTAAAAACATTATGCTAACATGTAATCAGTATAAAAAATTAGTAAAATATGTTTTGGTTTTTTTCTCTTTAAGTCCTATAAATTAGCTAGGGTGTCTTTACACTTGCAACACATCTTAGTTTGGAATACTCACATTTCAGGTGTTTAATAGCGATATTTCAGTAGTGGCTACTATATATTGGGGTGGTATAATTCTAATGGTTTTACAAAAAAATGCTATTGTTTAGATATTTTCATCAGTCAGTACCATGAAGATTTAATATATAACAATGTTCTGTTTAAATATTAGGCTATCTTTCTAGTCCTGATATGGAATTTAAAAAATTAAAATATCAGACTTTTTAATTAAACACTTGTGTTGCAGATTTTTTTAAAAGGGACATTGGAACATTTTTTTTCTTTTCAAAGCACAAGGAGTGACAGAAAAACATACCCCCAAATGCATTAATGAGCTTTTAATAGCATGTCTCCATGTATGAAGAGTCTAGCCTGTTTGTTGTGTCTTCTTCTCCAGCTGGCTCCCTGGGGGTGTCTTGAATAGAAGTGGGGACTCAGGCTCCTACCTAACTGGACTGTCTCTCCCCTTGCAGTCAACGGTACCAAAGGGCTTTCCGTCAACGATTTCTACTCTGGTCTGGAGAGCTCAGGATGGCTTCGCCACATCAAAGCTGTGATGGACGCTGCGATCTTCTTAGCCAAAGTAATGCTTTACCACTCACATTCGATCGTGGTCTTTCCGTGGTTCGGAAGGAACGGGTTCATTCTGTGGGGTGCTCGTATCCTTCCCAGTCAGATCGCCGTTACTACATTCTGTCTCTGTAGTGAGATTTACTTTAATTGGAGCTTTAAAAATATCATATAGCAGTTAATATAGGAGCTTCAAAAGAAATTCCCCAGCGCTTTGAAATGACATTTTTGTCTGTTTTTTGTTTGTTTGTGTTTTGTCTTGTTTTTTGGAGATTATGCTCTGACAGCATTATCACTGCACCCCTGGCTCTTCTTCATAATGCATACCTGCTAATCTGGTTTTTGAGTAAGTAGACCTTACTGACTTAGCTAAAATGTGTCCTGGTAAAATCAAAGTGTGTGGTCTGTCTTTTCAGGCAATCGCGGCTGAGAGCGCGAGTGTGCTGGTGCACTGCTCTGACGGCTGGGACAGGACCTCGCAGGTCTGCTCCCTGGGCTCTCTCCTGCTGGACCCCTACTACAGGACGGTCAGAGGGTTCATGGTAAGGGCTTGCTTGGCCAGGTCGGTGGGGACGAGCAGGAGTCATTTTGATGTTCACGTCTAAAGAGCAGGGTACACCTGGGCTCCAGCTGCGGGAGGGCCAGCTGGTGATGTCCTGTAACACACAGGGCAACCCTTCAGCAGAGGGGTACCTGGCCCAAAATGTCCGCGGTGCCGAGGCTGAGAAACCCTGTGTTAGACGAATTTCCTCTTGTGCCATCTCTTTGACAAAAAGTTTTAAACTTTTTTTTCTCCTGCAAAGTATTGCAATAGAAGTATTCAGCATTTCTCCCTCGTTTTTAATCTCACAAATGTAAATAATGTAGTAAGACAAGACATAGGTAAGAGTACTTATAATTATATTCCAGAGGAAACTTTGTATTTAACACACCTTAATTTCTGTCGTAGGTACACGTTAAGTGTTAAGTGTTAGTTGCTCAGTCTTGTCTGACTCTTTGCAACCTCATGAACTGTAGCCCGCCAGGCTCCTCTGTCTATGGGATTCTTTAGGCAAGAATACTGGAGTGGGTTGCCATTCCCTTCTCCAGGGGATCTTCCCGACCCAAGAATCGAACTCATGTCTCCTGCAAAGCAGGCAGATTCTTTACCTTCTAAGCCACTGGGGAAGCCCAGGTACACATTAGGAAGCTTGTTTTAAATCTGAAGAGACAGTTTATAGTTGGACAGATTTTGTTTTGTGGCCCTAAAACCCTGGCTCCTGGGTTTTATTTACCTTTTTAACATATGATAAGATTAACTCATGTTTTCAAACTTTTCATCTTAACTCAGGGCAGGTACATAAGTGAAAAGCTGGTGAACAGTTTTCCTTGGTTTAGAATTACTCCACACAGTGCCAGCTTAGCAGGGGAAGGTTGGACACCCCCAGATGCCTTTCAGAATCGTTGTGTTTGTGGCGCCAACTTATTGAATCGGGGACAGGCCACGTGGAAGTGCTGCTGATAAAGTGCAGTTCCGCTTGCCTCCAGCATGTGAGACAGGATGTTTCCTTGGCCGTGTTTCGCTTTCGTTGTCTTGATGTCCAGATGAACTCAAGCAGTGACCAGTGCCTGTGTGAGAGCCTCCCAGACCAAGGACCAGTGAGAACTAAAGCGTGGCTCCTGCAAAGGCCTGCAGGCTGTGTGAGGGGTGGGCCGGGTGCAGAAGAGCGGAGTGGGCTACAGGCCTGAGGAAGAAAAGTGTGGCATCTGGACTTCACCCTCCCTGGGTGGTGAGAGCCGTTAAATGCAGGAAGAGTAACGTGCTCAGAACTGTTTTTAAAAAATGGTTTGATGTCTTGAAGGCAGAGGGGTGGGGCTGGAGGCTTGAAGACTCGCTGGAAGCTGTTAGGATGGCTTACGGAGAAAAGAGGGCAGAACTAAGGCAGTGCCACACAGATGGATGGACGAGAGGGTGCTGGGTCCACCTCCAGGGAGGTCAAGACAGCAGCGAAAGAGCTGTTCTGGGACTGGAGGTAGTGCCCGAGACGAGTCCTCCTCTAGGATGGTGTGCAGGCTCAGGGCTCAGGTGCAGGATGGATCGTGCCATTCTGCTCTTCACTTGGACAGCAGAGGATGAGTTTAGTGAGAAGGGTACTGAGTTAAGTTTCAGAGGTGGGTGTGTCAGAGGGTGGCAAGGAGCCCACGGTAAAGTCCGGGGCTGCAGGCGGAAGAACAGGTGCTGGGAGTTGTGGGGCATGAATGTAGGGAAGCCGGGATCTGAGCCTGGGCACTGTGACGTCAGGTTCTTCGCCTTACCTTCGAGTGCTGTAGCCTCTTGGAGAGATTCAGGACAGAGAGGAGCTGAAAGTGACAACTTCGACAGCGAAAAGGATGTACTTGGTGATTATATAATGAGATTAGAAAGTATGTTAAATACTACAAAGATAATATTGTTGTGATTAGACCAAAAATAATTAGAAGCCTATTATTTTAATAGAGTTGTAATAGAGAAAACAGAGTTCATTCAAGAGGTTAGATATCAACATTTGAATTTGAATATAAACTTTTCCATTATTTTTTCTTTTTTTTAAGTATCAATGTTATGGAAATGATGTACAGTAAGCCAAAAGATTTAAACCATCCACCCCTGTCTACCACTCAGTAACCACTGGTAACCTCCTGGTTTGCATTTTCCTAACCTTTTTCTGTATATATATCATCATCACTCATACAAAATGCAGTAGTGTTTTATAACATGCTTTCCACTTAAAATATAATATTTAAATGCAGCTGAAAAAAAATAAACTTAAATCACAAGACTACTATACTTCTTTTTATGAATCATTTTCATTTTCTGTTAGGCCAGCCTGTAATTCAGGTTCTTGCTGGGTTTTGCCTATAATTTAAACAGTTTTATTTGCCACCATAAGTTTAAAAAGTAATGTGTTTTTAAGATGACAGGATTGAATCCATTCTAAACAAAAAAGGAATTGAAGGGGGTTGTAAAATGGATTTTACTTTTTCTCACTAAGGTTTTAATAGAAAAAGATTGGATCTCCTTTGGACATAAGTTTTCAGAGAGGTAAGTCACAATGTACATTCAGGTATTTTGTAAAATTAATACAACTAGTTTAGATGACCAGAATGTTCTGGTTCTTCATGATGGGAAATGAGAGTGGTGTGGGTTTTTGTATGAAAACAGATTTAATTTTTTTTCAAGTCTCATACTTTCATGAATTCTCATGGCAGTTTAATTACCTTCCTTTTTGTCTGGATTGTAGTGGTTAGAATGTAATAGATCCTTTAAAACTGTGGTTGAAAAACTCATAAATTGTTTCAATAGAAACATGACAGGTTTGGGGGGTTTTTTTAATGCCAATATAACAATGTTTTAGGACTTTTTTTTTTTCTGGATGGGGGGATATGTATTTAAATTTAACAGTACCCAAACAATTGACCTCTTCCAGTGGCATTTTCAAAAGCTTGTACTTTCTGGGGGGTAGGTGTGGCCATTTGGATGGTGACCCAAAGGAAGTCTCGCCGGTGTTTACTCAGTTCTTGGAGTGTGTGTGGCATTTGACCGAACAGTTTCCACAAGCCTTCGAGTTCAATGAAGCGTTTCTTCTTCAGATCCATGAACATATCCATTCATGCCAGTTTGGAAACTTTATTGGGAATTGTCAGAAGGAAAGAGAAGAACTCAAGTAAGACAGTTGTTTGAAATGGGCTTTTTTTTTTCCTGTTCAGCTGAGGTCTAACATAAATTGTAGTTGAACTTAAACTATCTTGACAATATGATATAGAACTGGGTCTTAACATGAATATTTTGCTGTCAGTATTTCTGCAGCTGAGTAAGCTCTGAGCACCCCTCACACTCTCGGCTAATGGTTAAAAATTTGTTTTGAAGTGTGGTGTGTGTGCAGACAAGTATGTATAACCTAAGTGTGAAAAATTCAGAGGTGAGGTTAGACTGTGACTAAAAGAAAAAGGGGAAATTAAACCTATGTGGGAAATGATTACCTGCTTTATAGGACAGTATCAGCGTCTCTGGGAAAAGTCTTCATGTTTTCTCATCACATCAGGTTGAAGGAGAAGACATACTCCCTGTGGCCATTTCTTCTGGATGACCAGAAGAAGTACCTCAATCCTCTCTACGGTTCCCAGTCTCAGAAATCGGCAGTTCTGGAGCCAAATACAGTGTCTTTCAATTTTAAGTAAGGTGGCATTATTGAAATACTTAATTATACTCAATTTTTCTCAATTTGTTGAAAAAAAAATTTTCTATTTTTTGTCTGTTTTTGTCATAAAGGTTTTGGAGAAACATGTTCCACCAGTTTGATCGAACATTGCATCCTAGGCAGTCTGTATTTAATATAATTATGAACATGAATGAGCAGAATAAGCAGTTAGAGACAGATATCAAGGACTTAGAATCTGTAAGTATTCTGAAGCATCTTGTGTGATGTATTTGGAATATTGAGTCAGTTTATTTCCTTACTTGTGCTGTCAGTATAAATCAGTATATATAGAAATCTCACGAGTACCTGTGATTGCTTCAAAATCAGATCTCCTCTGCCTTGAAAGGTTGGTTCAAATCGCATTTTCTGATTTTTAAAATATATTCAAATATTTGAAGTATATAGGCAAAAGAGATATAATGAATGTTAGGGTATTCACCACCTAGCTTTGTGAGATTTTAGCATTTATTGTATTTGATTCAGATCTTTCCTGTTTCTCTCTGAAGAAAAGGAGCATTACTGATCTGTTTGCAGAGCCTGCAAGCCACTGCTACGTCCTCCCACCCACTCTCACTGCACTGAGCCTGGTGTTGGTCCCTCCTGCCCATGTTTTTATACTTCCTCTATATATGCTTGTATTCACAAACAATTTATCACAAGCTTTTGTTTGGTTTAATATATTATTTTTATTATGTATTGAGAAAACACAGAAGAAAACAATTTTCTATAAAGGGCAGCAAACTACACGATTGCCCAGTCCCTTCACTCCGCTTCAGGAACCACACATTTTAAAACTATACAAAGGCTGTCACACTGTCATGCTTCACCTTGCTCTGCATTGTTCTGAAATTTGTCCATGTTGGTACGTGTACCTTTAGTTCATCTGTTTCCTCGGTGACTACTACCTGATATTCTCTTGTATGACTGTGGCACAGTCTGTGAGTTCGGCTTCACTAGACATTTCAGTTATTCGCAGTTTTGGATATCTGTCACAACAGGTGAAGTTGGATGACTCCATGTTTTTGTTGGCCATTTGGTTTTTCCCCTTCTGCATGCGAATGGCCCCTTCAAACCTGTACTCATTACTCTGTTGGCGTATTTGCCTTTTTCTTACCAGTTTCTAAGAATTCTTTATATACTAGACACTAACTCTTATTTAGCTAAATATATCACTAATGGCTTTGTCCAGTTTTTGTTTTTTCCATTTTCTTGATGGTGTGTTTTGTATAGATACTGTGAATTTTAATATATTCAAATTCACCAGTCTTTGTTTTATGCCTTTTTTAATATCTTTTTTAAGAAATCCTTCCCCACCCTAAAACATTTCTTTACCATTATATATAGCCAAAAAGGATCAGTAAGCACATGTTTTAAAAAAGCCTAACCAGTTGTTATATCTCAGTGAGACAGTCCTGTCTGCCTTTTAGGCAGGACTGTTGCTGGTCGGCTCTCAGATAAGGAGGCCATGACTGTGTGAGTGACCTGTCGGAGAGGCCCCAGTTTTAGGTGGCACAGGAAGGTTATCTGGAGATCAGTCCGAGGATCTGGGGAGTGTGAACTCTGTCAACGAATTCTTTTAAAATCTATTAAAATAAAAAATTCTGTCGTGTTCTAGCACCTGTTGTGCACGCATAACAGACCTGTGCAGACTCACCACAAAGCTCATCAGGCCAGCAGATCTTCAGCTAAACGAGTGTGTGTGTCACATTGTACAGCTGGGATTTCAGGGAGACCGTCTCATACATATTTCTTACACTGTAAAATGCTTACTTTTTATCCTTTCTAGGAAATGTATGTGCTTTTCAAATATGAAGGTCTAATGACCCTCTTCGGATTCTCAGTCCTGTCTCACCTACACTAGATTTTAGTTTTTTGAGATTTAATTTTGCATTCTACATAAACAGAGCATTTGCAAAAGCAGGATCTTTTTCTAGCTTTTATCTAGTATATATTGAACGTGTGGAGTGTGCAGCTCATAATTTCTTTTAAATTTGGCTTTGTTCTAGCAAATTAAGCAACGTAAAAATAAGCAAACAGATGGAATTCTCAGCAAGGAATTGTTAAATTCAGTCCGTCCTGAATCACCCGCCCTCAAAGCCACCCTGAGTCTCAAGGAGCAGACTCTGCTGCCTGTGAATGATGTTCTTCGAACTATAGAGGGCAGTAGCCCTGCAGATAACCGCTACAGCGAGTATGCAGACGAGTTTTCCAAAGCCGAGCCTGCGGTGGTCAGCCTGGAGTATGGTGTGGCCAGGATGACCTGCTAGGCTCGAAGAGGGCTTTCTGGCTGCCTGCGGTGCGATTATTGTGAGGGTGGTCTGTGTGCGTGACGCAAGGAATTTGCCTAATAATGATCTTAGGGTTTAATAGGTTAATCGTTGAAGTCAGGGTGACAACTACTCTTGTGAGAGAAGTCAGTTTAATTGCATTTCTAGCAAGGAATGAATGACTTTCATTTCTGTAAGAAGCAGGTGATATATTGGACAATGTACTCCAGACACAGTTTGTACTGTATAGTAGTAAAGTGACCTGTCTATATGATTTACATGTTAATTGCAGCCAAACATGAATAGCTTTCCATAAGTATAATTTGATTGCCAGAAGACTCAACTGACAAAGCCGTCCTTCACTTAATAATTCACATGGCATGTACTTTCAATTATGTAACTATGAATGTTTGCAAATGTTGCCTATCAGTGGTGTTTATTGTTGAAGTGCCATGAAAAATATTTCTAAGAAAGCCTTAAAACCTCAGTTTACTCATTAATCATTACATCACTCTTAGGTTTTATAGCTGAGAGCAATGGTTTGTTCTGTTTTGCTTGATCAGCCTGGTTGTGTTTGTGAGGGGTTGCTCTCACACCCGCAAGAGCTGTAGGCTCTATGGAGACATGGTCAAGGGACACTGCCAAACTCAGGTGTGACTGGTCCCACTTCTGGAGTCAAAACAACCAAACTGGCAGTTTAATTCTGGTTACTATTTGTTTAGTGCTACATTTCATGACTTATTATTCATAGCTTCAATTGTTGATTTCTTGTGCTTACATTTGATCGTCTTTTCTGAATGGATTACTGCATCCTATTGATTCTTATTTTGTGGTTGGCCTTATTCCTTGGATAACTGTGTGAGTTTACAAAGCTAAAGCTCTCAATTGTTATTAGAAACAATGAATAGTACATATATGTATATTTGCAAACTGTTTTATCTCTCAATGAATTGTTCTTCCTAGAATAAGTTTTCAATTTACTCAAGAATCTTTGGGTTTAAAAAAGGGAGTACAGATAGTTCAGATTTTGCTTGGTTGCATGAGTTTTTCTCTGTGACACATTTTTTTCTTCTCTGTTTTCATAGAAGAGAAAAAAGGAAAATTAAAGGTAATGTTTAACAAAAAAACTCAATGCTGGGAAGAATTTCATTTTGCCATGTTACAGTAACTGTTTATTCTCTGTACTAGTACATATCATTAAAGTATAAGAAAAAGAAAATTATTTTCAATTGACAGTATCACCCAGCTGGCTTTAAAATGGAAAATTCAACGTGGGTGACACAAGCTGTGATTCAGGGGTACTAGGAAATCTGCATAGGATCCCTTCTGCTTCTTTTTATTATACCTACATCTGTTATATTGATTTTAAACATAAATATCTTTTTCAAATGGGAAAACAGGCTTTATTGTATGAGCTTATCTAATCCTATTTTTTAAGTGCTTTTCTGTGATGCATTATGTAATAAGAAAAATACTTGTTTTTTAACAGTAATAGAAACACACTGTAACGTATAGTCTGGGATTTAGCCAAGTCTATTTCCATATTTGAGCCCTGGGATGAGAAACTTAATCTCTGTGACCATAGAAGGGAAGCTGTTGTGCCTTGTTACCTGGTTCCAGTTGCTGACTGTGGTTTTGGGATCTTCCACAGCACCCTTCCTGTCTTCAGCTCTTTGGCTTATTGTTTTCCTCTTCAACTTCAGGCATATATATGTGTGTTCATGTGCTCACATGTGGACTGAGAAATCCATTAACATCCTAAGTGACCCACAGGGTGTGTGTTGATGAAAAGTAGATTGTGTATATGTCTTAAAAGATTGGATTTGTATTCAGTGTGTTTGGGAGTGTATAGCATGTACATTATTACATATATTATTTAAAGGTAATTAAATGCTCATTTTTTCCATTGAATTTTTTTTTTAAACAAATGGGATCTAGTTGTGGTAGGTTTTTTCCCTCACTTAGGCAAAATGACCTGCATATAACACAATCATCACAGTGTAAGGTTTGAGCATTTCACTTTTCAAAAGTGAATGTTGATAAATAGTAACATATAGAAATCATTTCCAAAATACTTAAAATAAGCATAGAGGGCTGAAAGGTTCAGCAGATACAGTTGATAATGTCACTGCATTTTCCTTTCGATCCTGTCACTTCCTGATGTCACATCAGTGTTTTACTGCGCCCTTCTCAACGTCGATGAAAGGTGGTATCCAGTGCGTGTGTTTCTTCAAGGGGCAGGGTCTTCCCCAGAGGCCAGCCTGCATGTAATCAGAAAGAAGAAGGTGCCTGACAGAGAAGCGTGTGACTTTATATGAGGGTGTTTCGAGCAGGTTGGTTAGGCTAGAAGTAGCTTGGGAAATCTTCACTAAATAAAGATGGATGGAAGGCCTTTTTTTTCCCAGTTTGCTTGGTGGGGTAGCAGGGCAAGGGGTAGTTAACCTCAATTTTTTTTTTTTTTAAAGACCATTATTTTTCGGGCAGTTTTAGGTTCACAGCAGAACTGGAGGGGAAGTCCAGAGATTTTCTGTATTCCCTGTGCCCCACACGTGCACAGCTTCCTGCATCGTCAGCATTCCCACCAGATGGCACATTTGTTAGGACTATGAGACACTGACACATTGTAATGACCCCAAGTCCACAGTTTACCTTAGGGTTCATCTCGGTATCATATCCTGTGGATCGGGACAAATGCATGTATTGACCTTTATAGTGTCACACAGAGCAGTCTCACTGCCCTAGAAGTCCTCTGTGCTCCGCCCGTTCATCCCCGCCTCCCCCCAGCACTCAGCAGCCACCCTTCTTTTTACTGTGTCCAGAGTGTGGCCTTTTCCAGAATGTCATACAGCAGGAGTCCTACAGTGTGTAACCTTCCAGTTGGCTACAGAGTCGCTCACTTAGTCGTGTGCAGTTAAGGTTTTTTTTCTTTTTTTTCCATGGCTTGGTAGCTCATTTCTTTTTAGCACTGAGTAATATTCCATCGTCTGGATGGGCCACAGGTTATTTATCCGTTCACCTACTGTAGAACATTTGGGTTGCTTTCCAAATTTCAGCAGTTAGGAATAAAGCTGCTGTGAACATCTGCATCTGTGTTCAGGTTTCTGTGTGGGTAAGAACCCAGCAGCGTGTCCGCTGGCTTGTAGGGGAGGAGCGCGCCCAGTGTTGTAAGAACCTGCAGGTCGGTCTTCCAGAGAGGCTGTACTGCATCTGCATTCCCACCAGCAAGGATTTCTGCTTTCTGCATGTGGGAGTCTGCATTCCCACCGGCAATGCTTGAGGCTTCCTGCCGCTTCACACCCTGCCCAGTATGTGGCGTTGTCAGTGATCCAGACAGTGGCCTTCCTGTAGGTGTGTAGCCAGTGGGTTTTGCTTCTTTCCCCCTTGTGCAGAAGGTCAGCTTTGGAATACTGGACGTTTTCCAGCTGGCTCCCAGGTGAGACGAAATGCCTGCTGTCCCCTGCAGTGCTCTGCAAAGCAGTTGCAGACTGACGTTGGTCCATTTTCGTTCCCCAGGCTTGAGCTACATTGGCTTTTCTGTGTAGTAATCCAGCTGGCATTAGCATATCTTGCTTAAATGTCTACATTCTAAGTAAAATGTAGAACCTATTTTTAAAAACATGTCCCTTTACCTATATGGAAGGGGCTTCCCAGGTGGCGCTAGTGGTAAAGAACCTGCCTGCCAAGGCAGGAGACATGAGAGACATATTTGATCCCTGGGTCGGGAAGATCCCTTGGGAGGATGGCAAGGCAACCCACTTCAATATTCTTGTCTGGAGAATCCATGGACAGAGGAGTCTGGTGGACCAGAGTCCATAGGGCCACAAAGAGTTGGACATGACTGAAGCAACTTAGCACACGTGCACATGTATGGGAAAAGAATCTAAAAATAAGTGGATATATGTATATGTATAACTGAGTCACTGTGCTATACGGCAGAAACTAACAACATTGTAAATCAACTGTACTCCAATAAAAATTAAAACCAAAACCAAAGGTCACTATAAGCTTTAAGAACCTATACTAGAAAAAAGCCTGTTATTTAGAATGACTTATTATCTCAAAAAAAGTATATACTTTTCGCTGGCCATCTTATAAAATAAAAACATGAATTTCTGCCATTTTTATAAATAATGTTAATGCTACTCATCACTGAACAAGTAGAATATCCTTTTGCACTGCACCTTCTATAAAATAGTGGAATGTGTAGCTAAAAGCCACTTTCAGAATCTAGTTTGTTGACTCCTAACGCCTTGGCTTTGAGCTCCTGATTCAGCAAGTGTGGGTTGGGACTGTGGAGTTAAAAACATTTATATATCAATAAAGCATTTTAAAATGCTTTGGAGATTGTGATGCAAAATGGTAGGAGAATCCCACTCTGAGGAGCACTGCCCTAAATCACCTACCCTGATCCTCAGGCAGTCTTTCTCATTACTGAAAGAAAAACTGAACTGCTCTTATACAAAGGGCAGTAGACTGGGGACGTCTTACTTCTGAAACTTCCGTGTGTGTGACTGCATGGGTGAGAGTGAGGCCTTTGTTCTGAGCCACTGAGAGTTTGGGCACCTTGTTACTGTAGATGACCTGGCCCTTCAGGAACAGCGAGACCACGGACACACCGAAGAAGAGAGCGAGTCTGATTCCATCTGAAGACCGCTTCCTCACCGTCCCCAGATGGCCTTTTACTTACGATGCTTGCACTCATGTCCAGTAACAATTCAGGTGGTGGTTTTGGCTGGAGCTCTTTTGTCTCCACCTCAGACAGTCGCCTGACCTTTGCCCCTTGGCACTGATGCTTTGAACCAGAGCAGGTGTGAAGTGCCACTCTGCCCTTGTCCAACTGTTCCCCCAGGTGTAGTTCAGCTCGCTTCTCCATCAGCTGTACCTCCTGTAAAGTAGGCACGAGGTGAGATTCAGATTAAGCATTTTAGGAAGGGTGCTGTGCACTGCATATTGAATCCCTCTGGAGGGTATAGCATCAGACTGTCAGCCGTGCTGATGCT